GCAATTGGGGGTGTAAATGAACTGAGGATATTTATCTGGCCGTGGGTTAGGGGCACAACACTGCAGGCCTAAACCAGTCAAATGGGATGAATTATTTAGCAGGGAACATGGACTGTCAATCTCTTTATTTCAACTATATGTGAAACCAGATAAAGTAATGACTCATCCATGTCTATCTGAAGAAGTATCACATATTGGTATCGTGAATTAGAGATCTTATAATCTCAAGTCTGATTTTTTGTGAAAATGAAACCTTTGTGCAATTTGCAGTAGATCACCAAATTTATTTGAATACCTTATTTCCCATTGGGTAGTCCAGTCATTTCTTTCCTGGAAATGTCTAAATGTTTATAAATTATCTGCTCAAAAATATTTAACCTGATTCCTAAAATAATTGGAACAATCTTAAACTCATGCAACAAATTTGTCTGGAGTATATGGGACTATTTGCTTCAATATATGGGACTCCATTTATTTGCTATTGCAACATGCCAACTTTGGGTATAGGGGACCATTGGTTATTGCAACATGCCATCTTTAGGTATATGGGACCATTGGTTATTGCAACATATCATAATTTGGGTATATGGGACCATTGGTTATTGCAACATGCCATCTTTAGGTATATGGGACCTATGGTTATTGCAACATATCATTATTTGGGTATATGAAACCATTGGCTATTGCAACATGCCATCTTTAGGCATATGGTACCATTGGTTATTGCAACATGTCACCTTTAGGTATATGGGACCATTGGTTATTGCAACATGTCATTATTTGGGTATGTGGGAAAATTGGCTATTGCAAAATGCCATCTTTAGGTATATGGGACCATTGGTAATTGCAACATGCCATCTTTAGGTATATGGGACTCTACTGGTTATCGCAACATGCCACCTTTGAGTATTAATGGGACTATATTGGTTATTGCAACATACCATCTTTGAGTTCATGAGACTTTATTTACTATTAGCAACTTTTATTGAGTTACAATACTTGCAACCCAAATGATTATAGCAGAAATCACACATGAGGGCTCTTTTTGTTATTTCAACATGCCATCTTTGAGTATATGGGTCTCTATTAGTCATTGCAACATGACAGCTTTGGGTATATGGGACTCGATTGGCAATTTCAACATGCCAGTTTTGGGTATATGGGATTCAAATGCAACTAATATTCTTTGTCAAATTAGAATGAGACTCATTACTAGCTAACTCCCTCACAAAGGAGAGATCAGAGTTATTTATGTTTGAATTTAAATTCATCAAAAAATTTTCTTAAACTAAAGGTAATTTTGGCATTTAATACACCCCTGAACATATTTGATACTCATGCTTGATTGATTGATTGTATATTGTTTAAGGTCCCTCTAGAGAATTTTTCACTCATATGGAGACGCCACCACTGGCCGGTGGAGAGCTGCAAATTTTGTCCGATACTCAGCACTCGGGGCAGGGAGGGATCTTTTCCATGCCAGCACCTACTGCGACACGGGACCTCTGTTTATACGGTCTCATTCGAAGGACCTGTCTCTACGTCCCACAGTGGGATTCGAACCTGCGACGTAAGGATCAACTCCTTGTTTCGCAATTCTAGAGCTACTCATACTTGAAGGAACTTGTCTAGAGAATGCAAGAGATGGAAACTTTTGATTATAATAATAAATGTAATTCACTATTAATTTACATTATACATGTAATACAATGCATTATAAAACCAGGAAGATTGAAAATTACTTTGCTAGCTGTAAGCATGATTTTATTCTATCTGTGTTTGCCTTATAACTCTGTTTTACTGTATAATGAATTATGGAAATAGCAGTGTGAATTCACAGGTCCCCAGGACTGATTGTCAATAAAACTTTGAAATTGGAAGGCAATAAATAAGATTTAAATAGTGAATTACTTTTTGATAATGTAAGAACATGATTTAGTACATGGTATTTTCTTCAGATTTTTTTTTCAGATTACCATCATGTTATAAAGGTATAAACACAGGGGCCAGTAACACGCTATATATTTGTTTTTACAAAATTACTCTGTAATTTCATACACTTTATACACGTATATATAGTAATTACATAAAATCAAATATTGCATGTTACCTGCTCCTGTGGGTATAAAATATGAGATCACTGAAAATTAATTTTTGATGATATATAAGATGAAAGGACTGTAATTTTGGCTTCCAACAGCGGAAAGGTTGATTTAATTACTTTTTCTCCTAATTTTTAAAACAATTCTTTTTTTAATATTTTATAAGTTGTAGTTACAAATTTACCAAACCAGTTAACACATTTTACATTCTTGACATATCTGTTGCATTTAATTCAAGTTTTGTATTTGAATGAATTGATGATATTTCATACATGGAACCCTGTCTCAGTATCTGAAGGATGTGGGTGTATTGAATGCAAAATAATCCTCGTGATTTTTGTCATTAAGGATAATGCCTGTTTGAATAAAATGATCAAATGGCTATAACGATTAGAAATTGGAGACTATTTTTCTTCTCTAAAATAATTTTGTAATCACCATATCAGGGCCAGCTAAATAGATAAATATTGCATGTAATTAAAGTATCGGGTAAATTGAATTTAATGAATAAAGTTATCGTGGATGTTGTTATTACCCGAAATTTCAGACCTTTACGATTGTTGGAATACTGTCTTAATTTCCTCAATTCAAGGTATTTTTGGGGATAATGCGTATAATACCTAAAATGTTTGTCTTTTTTGAAAAAAAAAATCTATATTTATTACATTCAAACTGACAAATAATTTTTATCATGCACATGCAATGATGTTTTCAAAATGCAATCCAGCATAATTGAGAAAAATGAGCACTTTATATTTTTTGTCAATTAGAATGTAAAAACAAGTAGCCATAAACAAAAACATCCAGCATTTAATAAAAATAATGCAAATGATGTCGTACAATTTTGCTAGAGATGACATGGATAAAGATCTTTCGGTTTTTTATTTCTATATGAATATCATACATCAATCTGTCAAGCCATTCTACTGTTGATCGTTTGTATAAATGGTATTGCTGCATCATATGAAGTCGTATTTCATGAAGTCTTAAGACATATTATAGAAAAAAAGGCATAATTGCAAAAATTGAAAGTTAAATAGTAGAATTCATTTAAAATGATCTAGCATTATTGTTTCAGGTCATATCCCTCAGGTAATAATGCCCTGTTCACACGGAGAGTTTAATTCGCAGTAAATTAATGTAAAAGTAAACTAATGCGAATTGAATTGCATTCACATGACAGCTAAAGCGAATTGAACTACTGCAAATTAAAATTTTATTTCTACCAAAAGATTATTCAGTAAGGCTATTATGACGTCATTTGTAAATCAATTAAGTCATGTATGCAGAGCCATCCATTTGATATAATAATCATAGTGGCTACAGGTATATATTTAGTGATTAACATACTTTTCCTTGATTTTTACCTATATCTAACCACCAACATGTGTCTTTTGACTTATTTCTGGCCTTACGCAATATGTGTCAAATTTAATTCGAATTAGCTTCATTAAGCATTCACATGGAGCTTATGCAAAGTTATTTAATGTGCAGTAAATTAATTCGAATTAAACTAATTCGAGTTAAAGTTCTCCATGTAAACGTGATTCAAATTTAATTCACAGTAACTTACGTTTAATTGGAATAAAACTCTCCATGTGAACAGGGCATATAATCTTCATACTCAAGTAATTGATACAATATACGTCAGTTATATATCATTAAGCATTTTTGAAATATATTTGGAACATGTACCATAGCATTGTCAAACACAGATATCATGAATACATGTACCATTGATATGTTTTTCTCTCTCACCTGGTGAATTTAAGATTAAAAAATGATAGTGGTATGAAATATTTTGTTCATGTACAATGGGGCAAGTGGTATGAAATATTTTGTTCATGTACAATGGGGCATAACTCTCAAAGGTACAAATGATCTGTCCCACAATTCTCTCAGAAGTAAAATAATTTGTTCTCCATCTTGGAAAAAAAACACCTCCCCTCTTCCGTAAGTCAAGTTTTCAGAGTTACATTGTGACATATATTTGATGTTATCTTTAGGATTTTATAAAAGGTAAGTGTACTGTTTATTCAATTCAATTCACTTTATTGACAATTACCATGTCGGTTTATATTAATATAAACAGTATAGAATTGGTCTATTATCCCTAGAGGTTAGTAAAAGTCCAAATCTCATACCTATTTATAAAAATGTTATTACACAGTGTACTCAGTAATATATTTATTGTTACATTCTGTGTAAATATTGGTTTTCATTGCAGATTTGGACGTGTGTCCTTACGTTTGTCTGATATGATTTGAGAGATAATCTAAATCCTAACTTCAAGGCTGTCCAGGACAGGTAGCTCTTACTCATTTTATTTCTATTTTATTCAGATGAGAAGGAGCTAGAATCGAAGGCTTTGAAAAATAAAAGCAATCATAAACAAAAAAAATGGGTTAAAATCTATAATTGTGACATTAAAAAAATTCTTTAACTATCAGTTTGTATCAGAATATAAGTGTATTAATTAGCCATTATTGATTTTTCAAAATTGTTTAAGCTTAATAATATTTTCATTAAAATGATGCAATTTTCTATTTCAGGTTTTTCTAATGAGATATACTTCATCAGCATGGATCTCTATGATTTCGTGCAATTTATAATTCACCTTTGTAGTTGTTTAATTTTTGACATGCAGATTTGAAGAGCATTTCCAACAACTTTCTGTTGTATACAGAAAGTGAAAATAAAACCATTACAAGCTTCCCAAAACCTGTATGATTTTATTTTCACTGGATGGGAACAAACAATAGGTTTTTTGACCATTGTTTGGTCAACTGAACATGTACTTGTATTTCAAATATTTTCTGAGAGTTATGTATATGCTATACTAAAACACAGTTATTTTGTATCTTACATTTTTATGACCTTTGACCTCTGATCTTTCAGGTATGTCAGCACCCCCACCAGGGTATGCGGTGCTGGGGGGCGGAGGCCGTGACCACTATGGTGAAGGCGGCCCTCAGTTACAAGTATCAAACGGAACTCCATCTCAATCTGGTAAGATACAGTCAGCTCTTGTCTGTGGTCAAGATTAATAAAATGCTGTCCTGTCAAAAGCTTCATTTAGGGATGCTGTCTAGGCAGACAAATAGTACGATTCTCAGGTTACCTTGGATTTTCATTAAGGAGTGACTTTCTCGACACTATGTAATTAATGTCTCTTAAATGGCAAATGGACTCTCATTGGTTAAGAAATTAATAACATCTGCCATACTAAAAGCTATCATTGGATCATTGATAGACTTGTTGACATTCGCCAGAATGAATATTTCAACAGTGAATGGAAGGCTGTGTAAATTTCTTACTGAAAGTCCAAGGATAAAAGAGAATTGTACTAAACATTACTGTTTCAGGCTGAAGACAAAGGCCATAAAGACAAGGGCCATAAAACATACCTGCTGACCTCTGACTCTTAGGCCATAAAACTTAGACAAGCTCAATTTTGATCTCAGTCTCACCTTTATAAGATAAAAGTGAGACGAAGATCCAAAGTGAGCTCATCTAAGTTTCATGGCCCCTGAGCCTGGGGCCTGATCTCCCTTGTCTGTCGTAAATCTTTTTTAAAACTGATACTGATATCCTTTCACCTTTCACCTTTCCACCCAAGTTTTCATTGCAAATTGCAAAAAAAAGATAATGAATCTAAAAACATTAAAACAATTTTCAGGTATGGCAGACAAAATTAATCAAATAAGTTTTTTTATTATTACAATTTCATTAAGATTACTGTTAAACATACATTATAAGAACTACAGGTAAATATCAGTATCTCGAACATGGGATATCTTGAATACCCCGCTTATGTCGAAGTCGATCGCCGGCTGTTTTCTCTATATATATGATTTAAAAAACACCTGATATCTCGAACATGGTAATCTTGAATACCCTGTTTATGTCGAAGTGTATTCAAAGTCCGAAGTCCTTTTTTACCTGGCTTATCTCGAAGAGCAGTGAATTTTTCTGTCTACTGAACACACCTGGCGTCGTGACTTCACACATTCTCGCCAGTGGCTATTAATTAACACCTTCAAACCGGGGGAATCTTAATTAATCCTAAGCTCATGTTGGGTATCTGTGACAGGTTAACTGGTATGACAGCATGGGTGCTTGGTGTAGTTAACGACCGATAAAACAAACCACTTCACATCAGAAAATAAAAACAGACAGTATTACCGATATTGCATTTAATAATATGCTCTGTATAATTAAATCGTAAATTCATAAAACATAAAGATTCTTCACAATTGACTTAAATTAAACTGTTAAGTTGCAGTGCATAATGCACAGTACTAGTGCAGTGATTGATCATATTCATGCTTATCTGCGTATAAATAGATAACCTTGACCGCCATTTGCATTGTTAATTTCGTGAACTATATGTTCCTTAGTAGTACTTTGTAATGTAATACATGTAAGCTATTAATAATATTCAAGTACACAGTTTAAATACTGATTATTTTTTTAGTGCTCTAAATAACACTAAATTTCATCAAATAATGTTTTTGAAAAATTCGTCTTTTTCTTTTCTTACGGAAAAGGTTCTTCAACTATTACGCTAATGATACATCCCGTTTGACCACGTAAGCATGGCCTGGAAAATGTAAAATCGCTGTATATGCAATAAGGCATGTATATTAAATTGTTTTACAATTATACACGATAAAGAAATCAACAACATTGTTTTTCTTAATATTTATTGTGAATGTGCTTTAGTCTTTACCATAAAGACTACATGTTTGGTAATACAGGATAGTTTTATGCATGAAGATATATACGGAAAAACGGGAAATTATTGATTCGACTTGGAAGATTACTGGATATCTCGAACCCCCGGATATCTTGAAGTCTTGTCCAGGTCCCCTCAACTTTGAGATACTGATATTTCACTGTACCTTCTTTGGATTAAATAATGACATACATAATACATAATTCTTCAAGATAATGATCTTTGCGTAATCAAACAGGCATGGGTAGGGGAGAGCTGTAATAAGCAAACTTCAGACTTGAGACAGTGACTGTACTCTAGTTAAGCAATATACATTGTTCATATCATTGGGTTTTGGGCTGCAACAAGGAGTTTCAGTTTTCCACATTATTATTGATATAAAACAGAAATGTAACTCAGGTGATCAGTGGACTTTGAACCTTTCTGTTTAAGCTCGCCGTAGCAAAAGACGAGTTATTTTAGTTTTCTGATCAGAGTGTCTGGGAAAAGTAGTGACCATGAGTTGTAATATTTACACAAGACATATAAATGCAGGCTTCCTTATTTTTAGCACAGGGTTAAAAAGTTAATCATTAACTGCAGGTACGCTGATTTATCGGTATATCTTTTCGTGTGGGATGATGGCCAGATCCAGATACTCTGGTACAGTACTGCACTGAAGGAAACCGAACAGAGAGAAGATTTTACCCTGTGTTATCTGACCGGGTGTAAAGTTTAGATGTGGATGCAGTTCTTCTTTGGGATCCAGCAATAAGTTTCTGGGTTGGTAATTCATGATGGCCTCCACATTGTTGGATCTTAAGATGCTGATGTTCTTCTGAATGATCTCCTCCAGTTGTCGTAAGGTTTCGGCATCCTGGCATTGTCGTAGTTGGTTTATCCAGTTGACCTCTCGCTTCTTGCGGGTCACTTCTGCGATCATGTGACTAGCTGCAGCATGCACAGCTCTACAGATATTTTCCTCTTGATTCTTTATGGTAGATATTGTTTTGTCAAACTCCCCATCAAATGTGGCAAAGTTGATGTTTCTGTATTTGTCAACAGATTTTTCCAAATCTTGGGTATCTGCTATGATTTGCAGTTTGTGATGTTCGATGATTTGTCTGAAATCGACAAAATCATGCTTTTTATGTTGGCCCATCACACATTGTATACACACTGGTATTCGACAATCTCTACAGTATGTTTCACATTGGTCTGACTTGTGGATCTTGCAAAAAGGAAGGAAGATGGTGTTTTCTTTTCTGGCATTATATTCCACCACTTCATGTAGTTTGGATTTGTCTGCCATGTGTCTGGGGATACAGCTATGACAGAGATTGACGTGGCAGAGGTTGCAGTAATTCTCCACTGAATGGTGTCGACACAGGTCACAGACATGTAGTTTTCCTAAGGGAGGACCCATCTTTCTATTATTTCCCTATAATGATCATAAATTAATTCATCAAAGTTAAATACAACTTAAACTCAATCATTTGTGTGGGGGTAGTGGTAAGATTATTTGCATTATAGTTGCAAAATAAGGAGTTGATCCTTGCTTTGGTTGAATGCTATTGCGGGATTTGGAGACTGACCCTTAGGATGAGAACATATATAAACTTAATTTTTCAGTAAGAACTTATTTTTTCTGTATAAGGATTCATTGCTATTATAATCAAAACTCTATTTACACACAGTGAACAAATTATTTACCTACCACATGTGTATTGGGTGTGTGGGTAGAGGGGAGGTAAATTTCAGGTGAGTAGTTTTTCCTCCTAGAGCAAAGTTGAGACAAGGCAAGAATTAACTAAATCAGATTAGGTGAAAATTAACTTTTATATACGAGAAATTTAATCTTGGTGTATTTTCAGTCATCACTCATGAAAGCATAGAAAAATTTACACAAAGCTAAAAATATTGAATTTGTTTACAGAAATATCTAATAACATTCAATTTGATTTACTGATTTTATTTGCCTTTCTTTCCCCATTTTCCTTTGGTAAATATAATCACTGCTAAAATAATTTTCAAAAGATGCTTCAATGAAAGACAAAAAAGTTTTTTTTTTTCTTAAAAAAGTCTAAAATCATCATGAGCCATATACCGGTACCCAATGTTTGAATTCAACAATAAATGAATGAAATTCAAACATTGTGGCAGAAGATGATTTAAGACTTTTTTTTAGGTCTTTCTTTGAAGCATCTTTTGAAAATACATGAATGTAAACAAAATTATTAAAAATGGAGTGGAGTTTTTTAAGGTTATATAAGATTAAACATGTTAGATATTATTTCATGAAATTTCTGAAGAAAGAAAATTATTCCATACCTGTAGGTTCCTGCTTTAATCTGGTAAATTTGTATCTCTTTTGCTTTGTAATGATCTTCACGATTGGATGTCAGTTATGTCATTTTTGGCATGTGATTTGATTAATAATTTAACTATATGATACTGATATGTACTTATACATGTTATTGATATTTTCTGGACATGTAAAAGCCCTGAAACTGAGACGTATAACCAAGTATAAGTTATGATAGATAATGCAATATCTAAGCAAAAATGCAACAGTGCTTATCTCTTGTGTACAAAACCTGTTTTCAACTCTCTTCATAGAATAATGACCAGATTAGAGCTGTGCAGTGCTTTTGCACTGACTTACTTGAAGAATCTATATCAAGTACCAAAGCAAATTAGAGTTGTTTTTTTTTTGGGGGGGGGGGGGGGGGGGGGGAGGGATGGGGGTGTGGGGTGTGGAATGGCATTTTTAAGATGGCAAGAGCATGTGCAATGGATCAAATAAAAGATAGATTGTACTGGGTGGCTTATACATCTCTGCATTTAAGGGAATGGATTTTAAAAAAATTGATACCTGAAATATGTGAATAATCAAAATAATCAAAATAGGTTTAAGAAGTATTACCGTGGTATTATTAATTTTATTGTTTAACATTTACCAGAATATTTTCTGCAAGAATACTCAAAAGCAATTTTTAGCTCACCTGAGCCGAAGGTTCAGGTGAGCTTTTCTGATCAAAATTTGTCCGTTGTCTGTCGTTGTCGGCAGCGGCGTCGTCGTCGTCGTAAACTTTTCACATTTTCATCATCTTCTCAAGAACCACTGGGCCAATTTCAACCAAACTTGCCACAAAGTATCCTTAGGTGAAGGGGATTCAAGTTTGTTCAAATGAAGGGCCACGCCCTCTTCAAAGGGGAGATAATTATGAAATAGTGAAAAATTAATGGCATTTTTAAAAAATCTTCTTCTCAAGAACCACTGGGCCAGGAAAGATGAAACTCCTGTGGAATCATCCTCAGGTAGTGTAGATTCAAGTTTTTCAAATCTTGACCCCCTGGGAGTAGGGTGGGGCCAAAATGACTGATCAAAGTTTAACATAGGAATATATAGGGAAACCTTTTAAAATCTTCTTTTCAAGTACTTCAAAGCCATGCTTAGTGATATTTATATGGAATCATCCTCAGGTAGTGTAGATTCTAGTTTGTTCAAATCATGACCCCCTGGGGGTTAAAATTTAAGCCCACCCCCCAACCTCAGTAAACTTTCAGTTCTGATCTTTTTCCCAGCCAATTGCTCAGGTGAGCGATGTGGCCCCTGGGCCTCTTGTTATAGTGTATTATCTTGCTTCTATGAATATCAACAACCTGTAATCTACTCAATGTAATCAAATTTGTTAACAGTCTTTGGGATAAAAAAAAAATCATCAATGCAGTTTGTGTCTGTCTGTGAAAATTCCAGTGGGTTTTATACTGCATATGACCTCGGAAAACTCAAATGAAATATTATATAATCATAATTCATTGGGGGGGGGGCAATATTTTTATGGACAAGCAAAATTTAAAATTTTACTTGTTCGTGGGGACGTAATTTTGTGGGATACTCATTTATATTATATAAGAAGATTATTTTCGTAGTTTTCATTGGCTGAAAGTACATCACATGATATTTCTCCTATTATGATATCGATGCGAAAGCATGTCTGCGGAAAATAATATCGCACAACAGGCTGTTCGGTTGCACTAAAGTTATGTAGTACGTGACATCATAATATATAATATATTTTTGTATCCAACTCGTGTGCTTTTATCCCCTTGCCAAGGCTTGGGGATATAAAACACACAACTCGTTGGATAAAAATCATATCCAACTACAAATCATATGAGATCATATATATACGGTAAATTCAATGAATGAATAAATTTACAACTCAAACGTTTGTGGGGACCACGACCACAAACATTGGTCAATGAGGATTCTGAAGTAAGTAAGGTTGACACTTGAGTCTTAAATTCCTCATAAATTCTACGATTTTTCCTTGTAGAAGTTACAGTCGATGATCCTGAGTCCTCTACAAGAGTTATCTTCCATACCTCAGCCAGACATAAGACAGAGACAGTTAGAATGTGTACTACAGATACTGCACAACAACGGGGATAAGCTGGTCCATGGCTGGCCCCTTGTCCTGGGGGTCATAGCAGCCCTCCACAATGACCAGGGGTAAGATTTACATAGCAGCCCTCCACAATGACCAGGGGTAAGATTTACATAGCAGCCCTCCACAATGACCAGGGGTAAGATTTATATAGCAGCCCTCCACAATGACCAGGGGTAAGGTTTATAAAGCAGCCCTCCACAATAACCAGGGAAAAGATTTATATAGCAGACCATGGGTAAGGTTTATATAGCAGCCCTCCACAGTGACCAGGGGGAAGGTTTACATAGCAGTCTTACAAAATGACAAGGGGTAAGGTTTATGTAGCAGCCCTCCACAATGACCAGTGGTAAGGTTTATATAGCAGCCCTCCACAATGATCAGGGGTAAGGTTTATATAGCAGCCCTACACAATGACCAGGGATAAGATTAATATAGCAGTCCTACAAAATGACCAGGGGTAAGGTTTATATAGCAGCCCTCCACAATGACCAGGGGTAAGGTTTATATAGCAGCCCTCCACAATGACCAGGGGTAAGATTTATATAGCAGCCCTCCACAATGACCAGGGGTAAGGTTTATATAGCAGCCCTCCACAATAACCAGGGGTAAGATTTATATAGCAGTTCTTCACAATGACCAGGGGTAAGACGTATACCTGTTTTGGTGTCATGCAGAGTCTCATACCGGTATTATCCCACGCGTACAGTAAAGTATTCAATATTATCCCTTATCTGTAAGCATTACAATGTATGGATTGTTGAAGTGTGTATGGTAAATAATCCACTGACACCAATAGACGAAATAAATGTTAAAGATGTTCTAACGTCCATGAATTCAGCAATCCCACTCACCCAAAATTTGATTGTATTCTTCATAATTATTAGGAGAATTTCCTCTAAATCTGTTTGTTTGGTTTAAAACATGTTCCAGATGATTTTCGAATCCTTACATTACAAGCTCTGTTTACAGAGAGAAGTTGATTCAGACAGCCTTTCAGAGCCTCCAACTAGTCGTCACAGATTTCCTTCCCATCATTCCCTGTGTATATCTAAAGAACTGTGTGGAGGTGGCAGCTAAATTTGGACTTCAGAATCGGGAGCTCAACATCAGCCTTACCGCTATAGGACTTCTGGTATTTATACTGACTGGAAAGAGTTGACCTGTGTTGACCTTATGCCTGCATAAATTTGATCTTGCTAAATAAGTAGATGTGATAATTGTGTTTGGTTGCTGCTTTCTAGTCTAGTACAATAAAAAATGAATAAAAGTAAAGAATTTAATGCTTATATTTTTACCCCCCCCCCCCAAAAAAAAACCCAACAAAAATCAGCCAACCAAACAAAACAGAACAAAAACTAAAAAGAAACAAAAAATAAAATAGTGACTACGAGCAATTCACAAATTTTTGTAACACTGTTCACAGTATATTGTTAGTCAAGTTTGTTTTGATCTTATAAATTACAGTGGAACATCTCAGACTTTTTCTACCAAAACCGACAACGAATTGAGAGTGAGTTGAATGCGGCCCAGTTGGGGGAGGGTAAGGATGATGTCCCCCCGTTTGATGCCCTGTGGATGACCCTGTATATGAAGCAAGGGGAGCTGTGTGTGGACCAGAGACCCGCGGTCAGGAAGTCCGCCGGACAGACTCTGTTCTCCACCATCAGCGCTCACGGGGGTCTCCTCCAAACCAACACGTGGAAGAAAGTTCTATGGCAGGTCAGTACACAGGGGTATCCATGGTTTTTTTTCTTTTTGTATGTTATTTAATATCCATATCTAGTATTTTTCACACATGTGGAGACGCTACCATTTGCTGGTGGAAAGCTGCAAATTTTATCCTGTACTTGACACTCATGATCATAACCTTTGAGCAGTTAGGAGTCTTTTTCATGCCAGCACCTATACTGCGACACGGGACCTCAGTTTTAAGGTCTCATTCGATGGACTGGTGTCTTCATGGTGATAATAAAGATTGAAAACAAGAGGCTCATAGGCCACATAGCTCACCTGTAGTGACATCATGGATAAAGGTTGATTGCTAATGAGAAGGGCAGAGTCACAAAACTTAAATGTGTACTGTAGCATTTTTCTTCCTGAGGAAATTTTGTGGATAAATAAAGTCCCATATTGTGTTTGTCTAAGATTTTATTAATAAACAGTTTTATTGTGAATAACAATGAGATTTAAAGTTCAATGCCCAACAAAAAAAAAACTAACATCATGTACTTTTCATGAAGAACCCATCCTCCTTTCAAAAGTTAATTTGATGATTGTTGATCTAAAATTATTAAACAAATACTAGTATTTATATCACTGTTAAATAACATATTTTCTTTTTTTATCACTTCAAAAATCAACAAAATTATGTCTTATTTCAGTATGATAAGTAATATGTTTATATAATGAGCAAAAACATGATCTCTTCTACATGGTATGTGTGATTCATTGCATTGATAAAAGATTTTTCTTTTAATTAATAGGTGTTGTTTCCTCTGCTGGAGAATGTACAAAAATTGTCCAGCACGGCCTCCAATGTTAAAGACGAAGCCACCACTGGAAACATTTTGATCCACCACTCCCGAGACACGGCAGAGAAACAATGGGCAGAGACCTGTGTCCTGTCATTAGCGGGCGTCGCTCGGACGTTCAATTCCAAGCGAAAAATACTACAAACAATTGGTAAACTTCTCAAGCTATATGTGGCTCTCTAAATCAAAGTAATTTAAAGAGTTATTGCCCTTTGAACACACTTTGGGTGATGATTAGAAGAGTTGCTTTTCCTTCTTCACCTTAATCACATAAAACAGTTATGAAACACACATACCTGTATATTGGATATCTGTACATGTATTACAAAACATCATTTATTAGCTAGCTCTCAATTTAAATTAAACGCTGATGATACTAAATAAACTTCTTTTCAAAAATCTTAATAATAACTAAATCAATTTAAGTAAAATTTTAGCTGCATCAAGTTTTATTAGCTCACCTGAGCCGAAGGCTCAAGTGAGCTTTTCTGATCACATTTTGTCCGTCGTCCGTCTGTCTTCCGTCTGTAAACTTTTCACATTTTCGACTTCTTCTCAAGAACCGCTGGGTCAATTTTAACCAAACTTGGTGCAAAGCATTCTTGGGTGAAAGGAAATTTAAATTGTTAAAATGAAGGGCCAGGTCCCCTCACAAGGGGAGATAATCAAGAAAAGACAAAAATAGGGTGGGGTCATTAAAAAATCTTCTTCTCAAGAACCACGGGGCCAGAAAAGCTGAACCTTATGTGGAAGCATCCTGGGGTAGTTTAGATTCTAAATTGTTCAAATCATGACCCCCGGGGATTTGGCGGGGCCACAGTAGGGAATCAAAGTTTTACATAGAAATATATAGGAAAAATCTTTCAAAATCTTCTTCTCAAGAACCACTGGGCCAGAAAAGCTGAAACTTATGTGGAAGCGTCCTTGGGTAGTGTAGATTTGAAATTGTTCAAATCATTACCCCCAGGGGTTGGGTGGGGCCACAATAGGGAATCAAAGTTTTACATAGAAATATATATGAAAAATCTTTTAAAATCTTCTTCTCAAGAACCACTGGGCCAGAAAAGCTGAAACTTATGTGGAAGCATCCTGGGGTAGTGTAGGTTTTAAATTGTCCAAAGTATGACCCATGGGGTACGATTGGGTCACAATAGGTATTACAAGGGGGAGATCGGGTTAAGAATAGCATGGTCAAAGCTTCTCAGGTGAGCGATGTGGCCCATGGGCCTCTTGTTATTTTTTTTTTTGGTAATGTCCTTTAAATTGAAAATAAATCAAGCAATGTACAATTTTTTAAAATGAAGAACGACTGCTAAAAACTTATTTGGGTTGTAAATGATGTAGACATTAAATCTCTAAAATGTTGCTTGATGTTCAAAAAAATTAATTGTTCTGGTTCATTTATAATATTTTCTATTTAATTATGTGTTTTTTTCATTGTCATGTATAATGATTCCTCAACTGATTTTTCATTATAAAAGCTGTGCCTCAAGAAATATAGACTTGCTCTTGGGGAACTTGAATCTTTTTGATTCCCTTAATGAATTTTTGAACTGTATTATGTTTCCTGTTGAATTAGGTGATTTTCCCCGAGCTTGGTCCCTCCTTCTGGAGTATATAGAGACGAACGCTATGTGTAACAATGCAGAAGTGTCTCTGGCAGCTCTCAAGTCATTCCAGGAAATTCTTCAGATGAGCCGTGACCCTAAGGATAAGTCAGATGACCTATTGACCTTGATGAAGCCTCCTTCTGAAGTGGTCATCTCAAGGTCAGAGGACACCAGCAAGGTGTTACCAAGGACAACAAGTGATGATAGTGACCTTGACCTTGCCTTGTGGACGGCAGCCTGGAAGGTTTGGTTGAACATTGGTACCAGTGCCACTAAGCCCCCTCCCTCTGGGGGTAAACCAACGGACCGGGGGGTATATGTCCCGTCACAAGCATTCCTCACTGCCCTGGTGCAGACCTTCCCACCTCTGTTTGAGCATATCAAGTCACGGTTTGTGACGGCGGATCTACAGAAGTTGTCCAAGGTTCTGAGGACCGCCCTCTGTGTCCCCGTTCATGGAGATGCCTCCCCGTTCATCATTCCCTCCTTTCCTGACGTCACTACCACCCCCCTACAGGAAGCCACCCTAGCCGCCATGGAGTCCCTCATTAAGGTACTGTAGATCACTAAATTTTTTATGACACTTTATTTTCGCGAGATTGTCATTGATTATTTATTAGCGAGACATAATTTTCTCAAATTGTTGTTATTCCTCTATATAATCTAAAGGAATACATGTACTATCATACGCGAGAATGAAATTTTCGCGAGCTCACTGTCTCGCATAATTATGCGAAAATGTAGTTCTCGCAAATAAAAACTGATTTACAGTAATAAGCAGCAATCCGCCAAATATTTGTGTCGTAGCAAGCTCGTAAGATGCCTGTTCTTCCAAAGCAGTGAAAATCTTCGACTGATTTTGACTATTGTCAGGTAATAAATATATTGATAATCTCAAACCGAAATTGGATATATTGAGAGTTTTAGAACAAGTCGGTGATAATAAAAAAAACATATAAAAGACTGTTGTCTGAAAAATGTCAATTAAAAATTTGATACATCTATAGAATCATATTTCGTTATTTGACTGGCACACAAGAAATTTTCCTAATATTGTAGAAAATTTATATATTGAAGATATCAGCTGTAAGATAAGGAAATAAATCTATTTCAGCAAAGGTGATAAAAAATCATGATATACATGATGTACTTTGGTGGGGGCAAGGGCAATACAGTTATAAAATGGGTTCATTTCTGTCAAATAAATACTGATTTCCCATGCAATTAAGAGCCATATTTTATTGGGGTGTCATTTTAGATCATTTTATGATAAAATAATGTATAACCAGATTTGCAATTTACATTATGATGCTAAAATGTAAAATCTTAATTAAACATTTTCTATACAGGTAGATATATTTTTAAGTTTGCTCAGCCTTGATTCAAAGATATCCATTGAACCTGTGATGCTTAAAATTTGAAATTTAAAATGAATTTCAAAATTCTTGTAGGCTGTGCAGATGGGCCCGGAATCCATGCAGTCCATGTACCCTGACATTTTTGACCAGTTGTTAACATTCATTGAGTATGGAGTCAGGGTCCCCAAGTTTGGTCAGCTGGATGCCAAGGCGTTTGGGGCTGTCAAAGGACCACAGGTTGTAATCCACAAAAATTGTTTCTGTTTATTTAGGACTTAAAATTTTTTAGCACTAGCCTGTATTGCTTGTTCATTCAAAGTGATTTTCAATTAGGAAAAGGTAAAATAAGTTTTGATAAATAATTTGTTTTTACAGAGAAAAAAAAAAGCTAACTAACACTTTGTTGTGCCTTATAGTTGAATTCCTTCTTATTTATTTGTTAATCTGAATGACCTTGACCTTAGGTGGACTGGGTGACCATGAACTTTGTGCCATTTGCGGAGAAGGCAGTAGACATGGTTGTGGATTTGTATCGAGTCACTGCCAAGCATCCTGTTGTGATTCAGTCTCACGTTCTCCAGAAAATTATACAGGTTTGTAATGGTTGAACGATGATGAGCCTACACTGAGATTCTTCTAATTTTTTACCCAGTGGTGAGAGTTCCAGAGTTGCGGAGTTGATCATTATGTCACAGGTTCGAAACCTACATACTATGATATCATTGGTCTAACATGAATCAGATACCCAATGGCTACATAACTGCTGAGTATAGGTCTACAAGTGTTAAAAAAATTTTGCTGTCCCAATATGTGGGGAGGGTATTCTTGAGGGACTTAAAGCAAACAAATTTTTAAACAATTGCTATTACCGTATAAGTGGAAATTTTAGCAAGATGCAAATTTAGCTATTTCTACCTAAAATCTGGTATTTTATTTTTAGGGAGAAGTAATCTTAGCGATTTTAAAATGCTAACTAAAGAAGCTTTTACAAATAATACGCAATTAATTTTTAGCGGTATTCAATTTTAGCGATGTCAGCACCCTGGCTAATAATGCCAAAATTAAATCATCGCTAAAAATTCTACTTGTATGGTATTGATATTCAAGTTTGCTTCTTAGTTGTAATTCCATGTATGAATCGGTGCATACTGAGCATATAATTCCATTAGAATTCCACTTATACAAAATGAAAACACTGATTTCTACATCACATATTAGCCTGCTGTTATGTGTTCAGAATCACATAAGCAAAGGACAGAAGATGCCTGAAAAACAATTTCAACCAAATAGATACCAGTGGGATAATAATTATTGGGGGATGTCCATTGGCGTTTTACAGGAGGATATCCATTAGCATTTTTGGATGGCTTGGAGATTACTTACATATGAAGGAAGAATTTAGAATCACAAATAAATACTAGTGTAAATAATCATGCAGAATATAAACTTAGTCAGATACAGACATTTTGATATCAAATCTTTTTTAAAAGAATAATTCATTTTACAGGTATGTCAAATTTCAGATTAAAATGGGGCAACATCAATAGGTTGATATTTGACAATGCCAGGTTTTAAATTGCTATAAGTAGTACAGTAGCTTTCCCCAGACCTTAACAGTAATAACAGTCCAAGAACATAATGGTTGCCCACATATGAAATGGAGGTTCAGAATATCATTATCTTAACCTATACTTATACAGTATAAGGGAAATTACAATTTAGCTAATTAACATGCACTGCTCAGACTATTCTTGCATTTAATAAGAATTAATTCTTGTAAATCATCCACTTGTCATGAGCTGAGACTGGGGAGCCTGTAATCTCGTCCTGAATTCCAATCCCGCTCCAACCTTTCCCATTACATTGTTGATCCTCCAGTCAGACCTAGTGTCCTCTTCGTCCTGATTGACCACAGTTACCCCCTGCGGCCCCTTCCTGTTGTATCATCATTAGATAAGTAAGGGGTCAGTGTTCTTTTAAGTTTTATCAGTAGATTGTTATGTGGACAGAATGACCGCTGTCCCCCTGATATGACCAGAAGAGCCAGTACACAAAAGACCTCTTTAATCCAGGCTATTTAAAGCTCCATACCAATAGCAGATGTACCGATGGAGGAAATCAATTATCGCTAGATTCCAATTATCTATACACTGGACATTAATTTTTTATGGAGGCTGCTCCTTGTCCATTTGTCATCCAGACTGGCTTAACATTTATAGCCATTGTACATGTACATATTTATCAATTTAAAAAAATATATGTAGAGGAAAAAATTTGTTCTCTGCATTACTTGATAGAGATGTTCAATGTTTAAGATTCTGAGAACTGAGTTTTTGCCCTGCGTATCAATACATTTAAAAGTTGATCACAAGGTTCTATATTTCTAAAACAAGAGTGCTAAAATCAAAGCAAGACTTTACCTGTAGATTCACTCTTTTGACCATTTGGCGGTTTTGTTGTGGAGATGTCAAATAATCTCAATGGTAGAAATTACTCATTGTATTTCTTTAAAAGACAACATTTATAGGTTCATAGAACTAATGGAGAGATATTGCTTATATTTTAAAAGTTTTGGGTCAATACCCGGTATTCTTTTATGTGTTGCTATCGCAAAAAAAAAAATTTAGTGTTGTCATTGGATAATGTCCATGCAGTTATAGAAAGACCATAAAGACACATTTTTAAAAGGTTCTAAAGTGTCACCCTTTAAATATATTTCTGTAAGGCCTAAGATGTATTGTACCAACTCTTATAATGTGTTTGGTATTTTTCACTCACAATATGGGAACACAATTTTAGTCGTTGAAGAAAACAGGAAAGAGAAAGCCGTGTCAGTGATATATAACACGTAATGTTGACGACAGTCAATCTGACTTTTTGGTTATGGGTGACATGGCCATGTTATATCCTGGAATAGTTTACAATTACAAGTTATGATACCGGTAGTACATGTAATTGAACTGTATGCATGTAAGTTGTGAAATTTATTGAAAGACACATCTTTGCTTACTTGTATAGCCAGATTTCCGCGTACTAATAAGCTTCATTATTAATAACTTGAGTATTTAATATCAAAATCAGCAGGTGACAATTCCTTTGGATCTAGTTTCATCAGATGTTCCTTGCAGAAAATTTTAAATGAAATTTCTATCTTTTTTTATACATTATAATTATCAGCAAAATGGGGACTGCAGAGTTATTAAATACACATAGTTAACTAATAGAAAAGGACCTGGAACCCCCCCCCCCCAAATGCAGACTCCTCTAAAGGTGTAGAAGTGTGAAGCTTAAAGGTGAAGAATAGTGACTCAATTAAACCTCACCACAGACATTCCAATGCACAAGTCCAATAAAAGTTTTTGTATTTGAAAAAAATGGAGATGCTTTTCTATTTTTATGCTTGTGAACAATATCTATGTTGGATTTTGATCAACTTATGCCCCTCCCCCCCCCCCCACTTTCCACTGAAGAAAAAAAATTCCTGTATCCATCCTTGAGAATAAAATCTTTGAAAGTACTTTGTAATGTTTCTCAGTTCAAGAAAGAGGATTTTATTCCACATGTTCCAGAAACAATCTGTATTAGAACTTCATGTCATCTGAATTTTTAATTGGATAATTCAGGCATAAGTTGAATTGGACAGTTCAGACATATATAATAAGTTTTTACTGACTGCTACAATCTTTTTCGAATTCCCTTATTCACAATATCAAGGACCATTTCTTACAATATGGAGACATGTCCTTGGTGAATGTCAAGGAGAGCTCATTTTGAAGCAGTGTATAGTATCGCAGAAAACTTGGGGTTCCCTGTGGTTTCTTATTCGTTCTATATTTAGGTGCTACTGAGGAGTCTATTTCCTGAGCGGCTGAAATGTCGGTCCACACACCAGGACTTCCTCTGTCCGGGAGGTTGTACAACGCTATAACCATCTTACATCAACGTTTAGTCAAATTAACAGTATCATTTTTATGCTTACCTGTAATTATTCCACTGGTGCAGTCAAGAAGTTGCGATTTACAGCGATATATTACACCGTTATTTTGTATCTGTATATTTAATAAGTACCCTTTTGACTTACTGAAGTCATTTGATAGCCTTAAGAAAAATATAGTTGAACTTCGATATCTTAAACACAGATATATTGAATACAATGAATATCTCTAAGTCCAGACTACTTTTAACCTCAGAACATGTATCTTGAGTTATCTAAATGCGAGTATAATGGAAAAATTGAATCGTAGTGGTTAATGGGAGGAATTTTTCCAAAAATCTCTTAATTAAGTAATCTTAGGAGAAATTCTGAAACAATAAGATCATTAGGCTTCACCCCTTTTTTTTATTGGGGGGGGGGGGGGGGGGGGGTAGTTGTTTGTAGAGGTGGGCAGAACCTGGGTATGGATCTCATTTGAGTCTGTCGACAGAGGATTGTGTGCATGTCTCTAAAGAAAAGGCATTAAAAGCCATATCATTGAACCTCTCCAAAATAATATAGCTGAACTTCCGTATATTGAACTCCGATACCTTGAATACCATGGATATTCCCGCTCCTTCCTGGAACGCGTCTTGACTCTTTCTCTGACTGGCGGCATTGTTTGACGATCGCAGTCTTCAGATTGTTTTAGCTTTTTCTCAATAACTTGTAATGGCTGTTTTCTTGCCGCGCTATTTTTCTGAGTGACGGAAGCGGAAGTGATACCAACTAATTAACTCCAAGATCTTTAAGATTTTTGCCAACCACATATTCTTTAAGTAATTTACCCTTGATATTTCGAATCCTCAGATATTCAGCCCCATCAGGTTCGAGATAACAAAAGTTTTACTGTATTTTCTCTTCACGATCTTTACATTTACATCTCCACAGTCAGTATCTTTAGTCCCAGAAACCAGTGAGTGTGTTTTAGATCCTCCTTTCATAAGCAGTTAACCGTTCGCCCTATTCGTTTCATAAAGGTACCTAGAAAAACAAATTAGTGGGTCCTGACAAAAAGATTTAAGACATCCTTTGGGTAAGTTCGGTTTGGTTTATGTTTCCTTTTTCATTCATATTATGATGCCTAAACTTGCAATGGCAGGCTGCAAATTTAGACTTATGCTTGGCACTCGGCCTTTGAGCAGTAAGAGATTGCCTACTGTGACACAGGACTTCCGTTTAATTGTCTCATCTAAAGGGTCAATCTTCATGATCCACTACAGTAAAAAGATCTTTTCTTCAAGCAAATTTTGTGGACTGCTTACTGTTTCTGTCATTTATGTACCATCATCATTTGATCTTAGAATTGATTACCAGAGGTAAATAAAGTCAAAAACTTCATTTTGTATAACTTTTACTAATGAAACTTAAGAACAATTGTACATTATTTATATGGCATTTAACAAAATGGTGGACAATATTTCAAGTTGTCTTTCGTTCATACTGAGGTATATTATGAGTAACAGCATATAAACAATACACAAAGGACAGACAAACACACAGACTTACTGGACTTGGATATATCCTGACAATTAATGGATTTCCTTATCTTTTTTCATTTATTTCAAACAATTTATATTTATTAATTTGTTATTTACACTATAAATTCTGAAACTCGTAATAATTTAATTTCAGTTGTAAAACGTCATTTGATTGGTTATACGGTTTTATCCATTTTGTATAACATAACTTGCCTACGTCACAATGAGTTACGTCAAAAACGTATCGCTCCACTTGACGTTAACTTTTAAAATATGCGATATTTGAAGCCTTTTTCCGAAGGAAAAAATGGAAAAATTGTCTCATTGTCTACATTGAAATTAAATTATAAGGAATGAAGCTTATTTCAACTTATGTTATACGATATAACATAACTTGGGGCAGTTTACGCTTTTTTATAAACTGCTTCGCAGTTTATAAAGTGTAAACTGCCCCAAGTTATGTTATATCGTATAACATAAGTTGAAATAAGCTTCATTCCTTAAATAACGTCCTAGATTTATAATATAATTGGTAAGTTTTTAAAACAATTTTGCATAATTTATATCATTTGTATATTGAGTGACAAAATGCCCAACGAAATCCTCAAGCTTGTATCACACAGAGCATAAATAAACCTACCAATGTTGGAATTGTTTATAATATGCTCAAAATATAGACAAAACATAACGAGAGATTTTAACCTTCACACAACTTGCAGGAAACATTGTTAATGCTTCCAAGCAAATAAATAACCCCTGCAAAAATTCAGTACTATACACAGTCTCAGTTTGTGTCAAATTGCCATGTGATTTAGGGTACATATTTCAACAAATTCTGAGTAAGGTAATGAAAAAAATGTACAAACACACACACTAAGTGACCACCGGTATCTCAATGTATAAAGGTTATATTAATATGTATGAACTAACAGTGATGTAGCAAAAGTCAGATGAAGGTATTCGGAGCATTTAGAAATAAAAAAAATTGCCATAGGACCCGATAACAATGCTAAATTAGCTCTCTATCCCCCCCTTTTTCCCATTCTATGACTTCAAGAAAGATATATCTGTATATCAGTTTCCTTTTTGAAATTTCATTTACCATTTCCTGAATATTTTGAAATATTCAAATAATCTTGCTTTTTAAGAACAATAGAAGAAAATGGTCAGATTTTTTTACAAGGCTCCGAAAAAAGATTTTGGACTCAAAAAAAAATACATAAGGGAAGTACTAACATAACACAGTAATTCTGTAAGCTTGAAACTTCACTGCATGATTAGAAATTTAAAAGTAGACAACATAAAATGTTGGGAATGTGCTTTTTTATATACAATGTATAGGTGTTTAAAATGGCAACAAAAAAGATTTCAATAAAATATTTTTGCTACCTATCAGACAGAATGACAATGATTTTAAAAAATTCCTTTCATATAAAACACTCCATTTCCTTAAATGGAACATATTACACACAAAATACATAAAATATTGGCAAATTGTACACAAAGTTCTGGTGTTTGCTATATAAAAATACACATGAACATAAAAAACAAACTTCTGTGTTTGTGTGCGACTTAATGGACCCGTTTCATTCCAACTTCTATAAAAACTTCCTGAGTCTTCCCACAATTCCCTGAGTAGGTATCCCAGAATTCCAACCGAGACAGTTTGTAATGCTATATCGTTGAACACAATAAACTGCACAATTGCTAGACACAATTTTTTTCTCTTTTCAAAAAAAAGAGTTTGAACACCGGATATTCTAAAATTATTGTTGAATGTATGAGTAAGTTTTATCAAGGGTTGTACAACATACACCTTAGTTTTTCAATCTCACTCTTTAGAAGAGAAACCTCTGTACGTAGCTGAAGATTTTCCTGTTCCAGAAACACAACACGAAGCGCTATCTGTTCCTCTTTCATCCGTCTGGCCTCTCGTGAACGTTTGGCAGATTCGTTATTTTTTTGTCGTTTCTCCCAGTACATTTCGTCCTTTTGGTTCTCAGGCGTCAGATGGGGCCGTTTTTTGGGAGGGATCTTGTTATCGCCCGGTCCCTGATTGGCTAAATCCAGTGGCGTTGACGGACCACTAGAAGTACTGGAGGGAGATGAAAGATGTGATGATTCAAGATCTTGTTGTGATGGAGTCTCATGACTACCAACATTTGGAATAGGTTCACCGGTGGGTATGGGAGAATTCAGATCCATTATTGGAAGCATGGCACTAGAGGACTGGTGAGAGGTAGAAGGCCCGGCAGTGGAGGGTCCAGGCATGAGTGAGGGGGGAGAGTGACCGTTACCCCCTGTGGGGACCCTTGGTGCAGAGAAATCTGGAGGGGTGGAGGAATGACCTTGAGATGACATCACAGCTAGGTCGCTCTGTGTTAGCGTGTGGGAGGGTTCCTGGTATGGCATGCTCATACTGTAGTAGGAGGAGGAGTGTCCTGGGGGGCCTGTCGTTGCAGTGGTCCTCTGGTGAGCATGACCGCCATACTTGTAAAAGCGGTCATCTCTGTGCATAATGGAATAAGGATCCTGCATCATGCTGTATACATCACCCGGACTCGCCAGTTTGAAAGGTTTGGGCAACAACGTTAAAAATGAAGATTTATGGTTTTGAACACTTTCTTTTTTTAATTTCTGGTGCTGAATGGGGGGGTTTCATTCATCCATATGAAATGCTTTTCTCTCTGCGATATTGAGATGAAGTCACTTCCTTTTTCCTCTGCTCATTTTCTTTTTTCTTCAAATAAAATCAATATCATTATTATTCAATGCCTATATTGTAGGTATGTTATTGTAAGCAGATAAAATGTGTATGAAAGGAACGTATATTAAACTATTCAAATTCTCTTTATTTATTTTTTTTGCATTTATATGATTATTTTTAGTGGAATTTATCGATTTTTCATTTTCAGTCTTTTTTTTTCATAAACTTCATTTTGTGAGTGTATGGTCAGATATCCTAATAAAGAGCCAAATTTGCAATGGCTGATATAAAACTGTAAAAGACGACAAAATCTCGACTTTTGAATACTTTAAGTCAGGAATTTGACACCAAGTGAAATTAATCACATTGTCAAATTATTGAGAGAAAAAGTGAAAGTCATCTATTCAATTTGACCCCCTGGGCTACCCTGACATTGAATTGAGTGCTATGCCTGAACGCTCAAGTAAACAGTTTTAAGATTCCTGGGTAGCCACAGGGAATTAACAGTTTTTTTTTCTTTTTAACAATGGGTTCTAAAGATGGACAACTTCTTTGTTAGGTAGCCTTTGGTCAAGTTCGTTTTTAGTGAAAGTTGATATGGAGACAGGAAAATGGGTAATGAATAAATTGTACCCCTGAGAGATCAACCGTCATTTCAACCAAGCAAAGGGATACCACAAATCACCAAGGGTTGATATATGAAGTTTCATGGATATTAATTCGTTGATAATTAATTACATTTTCTGTAGAAACAAAAAAAAGGAAGTATATTAAATAAGGTAGTGGTATTTCTTTCCATTCACGATACTTTAATTTTGAGTGGGAGGTAAGGACTTGATTATAATTAAAGTGTTCATGTTTTGTATCGTTTAATAAACACTAGACTTTAATTATAATATTTGGCGTTACATGAAAATTAAATGGGAATATTCTTATATTATAAATCTCTTGGTAGTTCTAAAAGAATATGAATATCATTGAATTAAAAAGTCACTTTCGGGATTAGGAAAAAGAATGGGATTTAAGTACGTAGTAAAATAATATGGATGAAGTCCAACAATTTGTAACAACCGGTGTGATTTTGGGATTGGAGGTGTTTATAATTATCATAATTTCATTTCTACTACAATTTGTAAACACTAAAATTCATTTTAAAAAACATTTTAATGGTAATTCTTTTTTGAGTATACAGCAAAGCAAATTCAATACTTTCAACTGAAATATTTAGTGATTTTTTAAAAAAATATATTTTTAACATTTATTTTTTTGATAAAGAAAATCTATTGTGAATTTTGTCTTTGACATTTGGAGTTCCAGATAAAAAAGTATCTATTTATGATTTACTGTATACATTTCAGGAGGCATATCCCGCTGTGAAATTAGACAGACATTCTGTCCTGTTACTATGCCAACTGAATCTAATTAACTCATTATGACATAATATTTATCACCCAAGTAATTTTAGAATTAGGCACCATGCTTTTTTAGTTCGAAGGTTTTACACAAACCGACTAAAATCTTTTTTTGGGGGGAAAGCAATATATTTAATTTATATTTAAGGATATTTTTTGCCAGAAATAGTATTAAAAGGAAATGTGGTAAACAACTTTAATAAAATCATTAAAAAAGAACCATTTTAACAAAAAATTTGAGTATACCCATACGTAAAATATGATAGACGTTTTTTTTTAAATAAAACATCTTTTTTTATTTATAAGTCCGGCAAATCGACTCGTAATTCAAGCACTGAGATCGATTGTAAGCTGACACCATTATACCCTGGTAAACAAGAGTCAGTGCCAAACAAAAACACCCGACCATTAACCATACTTACAGCTTCAATCACACGTAATTCCTGGCAATTCGAAAGTATATACACACATACAGGTCCGATAGGTTCCTTTTACGGTTTCGGAAATCTAACCCACGTAAGTATCAATCACATCCCTGTATAAAATTTCTGTTCTCGCAACAAGCTGTAATCTCTCGCCCAGTTTCGCGGCCTCCCTAACTTTTTCTTATCAATACTATGTACTTGACCAGTTATTTCTCACGGCTCCGGACAACTGACCAATTGGCGAGCGGTGTTTGTCTTCGGTGACCTCTGAACCCTATGGGTAGTTTTACTTGCAGCTTGAATCGGAATCACGTGACGTAGGCTTAGCTTACTGACCATTGGTATTACGAAACAGCGGATAATAGAAGGTCAGTGAACAATAAGATTGCCTCAAATGAAGGGATTAAGACCTTTGTTTGTAGTTTACAACAAACCAATAAAATACCTTAATCGTTGATAATTATTATTCATCGTTGGTTCCAATTTTCGGAAATTAATAAAAATGGACTTGTATTAAATAAATGATTTTTTTAATAGTGTTATTAATTTAGTACGATGAAATTTTATGTTGAAAAATATTCTTTCTATCTCCCCTTTTTTATTTATGAAATAATTTATTTTAAAACCCATACAACAAATAATTTTGTAAGTCTATAGTGCTTAGAACATGGTATACCCGTGTATACATTCTCTATATACATTCTCTAATCATTCTAATTGACAGAAATTGATCGGCGCACTGTGATTACGTCGTAGCAGGTGCCCCCGGCTATTTCGTGCTTCCTGTAAGCTACACATCCGGGTATATGTGATGGTCAGGGTGAGGAAGTGAAAATCTTGTCGGCGGTGAAACTGGGAAGAGGGGTGTTAGTCTGTTGTATATATTATCTATATCAGTATACCACCGAGTGGGGCGCTTTCCCAATGGTGTACACACTTCGATTTACGTTAAAAGAAATAAATAAATAAAAATCTAAGAATATAAAAATTAAATTTTAAATCACGAGAACTGGTGGTTCCATCTTCTTAAGATATTTATAGTATAAAATAATAAACAATATTTATATGTTTCGCCCTGTACATAAATAAATAATAATAATAAAAAAATTATAATGATCCTTAAGTTGGAATTATTTTAGACATATAAATATTAACATCAAGAAAAGATTCATTAAGATACACTTTAAAAATCTGAACAGACAACAAACCCAATAATTTGATATAATATTCCAACATTACATCATTGCCGACTGAATTACTATGCGACCAAATATCATACAGTGTCAATACCCAGGTAGAAGTACATGTATGTGTTAACTATGTGTCTGTTTATCTATTATATAATTGTAACGTGATGTGTATTTTAAAGAAATACGTGAAATATAAATTATAATCTTGATTTTTTTTAAATTTGTTTAAAATTTTTAACTGAAATATAAGAAACTTAAAACCCCTTTTTGAAAATAAAAAAATGTACAAACTGATATTGACTATTAAAGAGATCCAGACTACTCCAAGTTCTCTTATTTTTAAGGGTTTCTACATTTTGGAGGGATCAGGTTTAAAAAGAAATATTAAGGCCAAGCTAAAGTTTTATTGCATAAATTATTAAAAATTAAAGGTTCAAAACAGTTGAAAGAGTTATAATGAATGTGTATAATTCATTTAATTTCATTAAAATGAATTAAAACTGTTGATTAAGTTTTAGAAGTTTAATTCTACATAATGGTATATATATTTTTAATATTACACAGTAATGAAGGCATAATTAGTTTGATGTACAACTAATGAGACCAAAAAGAAAATACCTGTACTGTTTACGTTTGTGACAAATATTGGCATGCAGCAGGGATTAAGCTTAGATCCCTGTTTGTATAATGGTTTATTGTTGACACTTACATGTTTTGACTTGTCCAATATAAGGATTGGAAAAGGCGGAGGGTGTGAATTACTTTATTTCTTTCTAGTAGGTCTGAAAACAGATAAGTTTGTTGAAAGATGAGAATAGCAATATTTTAAAGCTTGTTTTGGGCAATAGCATTTTATTTCTCTCTCTCTTTTTTTTTATACTCTTTTAATTTCATTGCCAGAATTTAAAAAAAAAAGTAGGGGAGGGTGGGGGGATTAAGTGAAATGAATATCTCAAACAAAATTTTCACAGAGGAAAAACAATATATGTTTTATGATATACACAATTTAGGTCTAATATCAAATGAAAGCGTATTTTTGTCAAATCTCGGGGGATCAAAAATTGTCCTTAAATGACTTTCAAGAGAAGTTGCTGTAACCCTCGGTAATGTTACACTGGCACCGAGTGAAGCCCAGACAAAGGTAAATATTAACCCTGGGAGATTTAATACACACAGACAGACTGTTACACAGGGTGATGCAACTTTAATCGGGAGATTGGGGGCCAGTATATTCAACCTATGATCATAAAGGCCTTATCAATATCTAAGAACCCTTGTGCAGATAACAGTATATATGTACAGAAATACCTTCAAAGGGCAAAATCACAAATTAAAAGCTCACAAATAAAAAAAACCAAAACAAAACAAAAATCAAAAGAACAAAAAAAAAATCAGAACATGTATTTGGCTACCCATTACCATGTATGAGTAAGGATAAAGCTTATTTAATATAAGTTTAATGCTTCATAATACTTTAAAGATATTTTTAATTCACCATTAGTCAATAATATTGCTGCCATGGTCTTGAGTTGTTTATTTTACAGAATGAGAATTTCAAAATTTAAAAATATTACATGTATATTAATGATAATTAATGAATATTATTATTAAGTTCCAAGTGCTGTTGCAAAGAATGTTATTTAAAATTAATCTAAAACAAAACAAACTTTGAGATGCATATCAAACGGGCTCAAAGGGGATTGGATTCTTAAAGATATACCTATGAGATGTACGTTTCTTGTGAATTATTTCATTGACAATATCTATGTACACAAACCACTTTGAAAAAACAAACATATTATTAGCCATATTAGCTTGGATTGGTCAGTTTGGGGAGATTTCTCAGTAACAGTAAACAAGCTTATATTAATAACAGGACAATTTACAATACACTATATTAAGTGTATACAGGGTTACTACACACAAAAGAAAGTGCTCAGATGTGATGCAATTTGATCTGGTGTTGAGAAGAAGACCTGAAATAATGTTATGTCATCATGTCCTCAAACTGGGGAAAAGGGGAAGTGCAATGTTATGTAAGGCTGACCCCAGCCAAACCACTGGACAATGGGCAGTTATCAATGAGGGGGTCATTTATCTTGATGTGATCGCAGCCAATACACAAAACACATGTCGGAAGATAGGCACATTCATGCTTTAAGAAAAAATAAATATTTGAGTGCATTTAAAAAGAAATCAATTCAAACTATGAATTTACTAAAAAATATATATGTGCATTAAAAATGTATTATGTTGCCTGAGTACATGTATTTATAAGTACTTGTATAGAGAATTTAATGTACTGGGGTACTTGTATAGATCCATATCAGGAGTCAGTATCAACCAAAGTGGCAAAGTATCGACCATCAATGAAGGTTAATTAATATGTGGCTCGAGGGTTGATATAATGTAAATATGATATGGAAATAAGTACATAGATTTCTTTTATTATTCTAAAAATGTAAATTATCTGATTTAATCTAGCATTGTAATTATTTAAAGAAATTCAAGATTGTTTGATACAATTGTCCCTTTCTTTGAAACCCAATAGATCTATTAATAAGTCATTTAAATAAAAAATTATTAATAGCACACAGTCACCAGTTTTAAGAATCAACCTAGAAATTTAATTATTTTAATAAAATAAATTTCACTTTTTGAATTGAAACATCATTTTAGCACACCAGTCTTACAGTACATGTATATGAGATGGGTTTGGTTGTCTGGATCATGGAGGTATTTTGATGTCACATGCAATTTAATGCAGAATCTGTGAACACTAGACAAAATTGCTAGCACATCACCTAATTGATATTTTTTTTCTCATTTCAAACTTCTTTATAATGTTTTTGATATGTAATTATGTTACTCTTTAAATTAATTTAAAAAATGGGGCATTCGAATGTCTTTTAACTGATAAACAACTATGTTTGTTTGCTGAAACTATACTTTTATTCTTTTTTTTACATAATAAATCTTATCAATAGTTTGAAATACCACTGATAATAGCCTTCTTTTAACGATTTCTTTTTTTGAAAATTAGTTAAGAAATCAAGCCAGGTCAAATCAAGAGTGTAGGGGGATTTATCCCTGGTATATACATTGTAGGTCCATAGACCCTTCGGACTCAGGGTGTAGGGAAAACAACCAAGGGTAATTAAATCCCCATTTATAACTCGAACCTGGCAGTCAATAAGATGTATTGTATTTTATCATTGTCTTGAAAATGCGACAGTGAAATTTCAGAGAGAGAGAGAGAGAGAGAGAGAATTATTTATAAAGCATATGTTTTTTGATACTTATAGACTTCCAATTATCTATTTTATCTTTGTATAAATTAATTAACATTTAATTACATCAGGCTGGGTATTATTTGGTATTTCATCAGAGTAACTAATCTGATTTTTATAAGACAACAGATGGGCCTAATAAGGTTGTCTATATATAGAAATAGTTCCTCGTTTGGCTCTGATTGACAGAGCTAGTAAGTTACAAGACAGATGTTAACTAATAAGATACTGAAACTGAATAGTGACTATCAACTGGTATTAAACAAATCTTGATCATCTCCGTAAAACTATTTCTAGTGAAGTTAGAAGAATAAGTGGAGGGGGGGGGGTGGCTGCCACGCAATATTGTTCGGCTCTTTTAACCACTTGGTAACTTGTTAATGTGGATTTTTTTCTAATGAGTATATTAATTCATTTTTATAAATAAGCTTTTAGTAAACATAAAATGATCGAATCAGAAAATCTACCATGGTATTAAAAACAAAATCTACATTTTTTTCTTAATTTCTATCACCGATATTAATGAATATTTCCATTTCTAATTGTTTTCTTTAGCTTTGATAACTCTTTGAAAGTAAGTTAAGTTGATTTCTTGATAATTCCACTGGAATGTTAATTTCGTAACATGATGGGTCATAAGCAAAGGAGGCCTACATGTAATATGCATGTAAATCTTGTAGGACTGTCTTTGTATTTAAATGGAAAAAAAAGCCTTAATAGGTCCTAGAAACATATATATACATAACACTTAAATTGAAAGTGAATTTAAGAAAAAAAAATGAGGTGAGAAAGTGTTACAATCCAGGATTGGAATTTAAAGGGCAAGGTTATAGTGGATTGTTGTGTAGAACTTGTTTCTGAACCATCTCTATAGGTATGATGCTACCAGGTTGTACATGTATATATTTGGACAGCACACAGCTGTCTTTATGGCCCCTGTTCATTTGAATATTCCTCTTTGTTCTGTGCTTAGATTTATTCAATTAACATTCCATTATCAGTACTAAATCCTGACAATGCTACCTTAGTCATTGTGTTTTTTTTTCACGCTTGATTGGTTAATCTTTTCGGTCATTGAACTGCGAAGACTACAAAAAAGGCAACAGTATAATCTCCCTTTTAAACTTAAAAAACCCTTTCATAATACAACCTTGCACAATGTTAGCGAAGTTAAAATCTTATTAATACAGATTATAGGACCGATCCCCACATTAAGAAACCCACTCAGCCATATCAGGGCTTTACAGATGCCAATTTCAGTGCTTTTTTTGATAATACAATTTTATTTCATTCAGTAATTGAAAACATTATTTTCATACTGATTTAATTATCAGATCTGCATAAATAATATTTATGGATAGAGTAACAATCGTTCATGTTAATATTTTCCTTTCAATACTTGAGGGTAGAAATTGTGAAGGCCAATGGAACTAGAATTTCATAGGCTTCACTTATGTGTTCTGAAATTTAGGGTTATTATATCTGACCATTATGAAGCATATAACCAAGGCAAAGCTAATGAAATATCCAGGTTTACTACAGAAAATTCTTAGATGAGAATACATGTACCGGGAAAGACTGAATGAAATATTAAGCTACATAAAAATACACGATATTTTTTGAAAATTTCTATCACGTACATCACTTTATAACCTTACCAGGCCTAAAATAAAATATTGTTTGTTTGCAGTTGCCTACCGACCCACTGAAAATAAACCCGACCCAAACTTTTTTTTAGCCATTTTGTAATATTATTTTTTCCCCTAAATTTTGCAGGATATTGAAACTGTTTCATTTTCAATTTTTGTCTTTATCAATCAGTACTATTATACCAAGAGTGGAGCTTATTCACGTATAGTAGGCTTATGAAAAAAATCTATTTTATGTTTAAAAATATCTAACAAAAATCTGAAAACAATTTTTTTTCAAAAAAAAAAAAAAAAAAGGATGCCTACCTACCTACCCAGTCTAAAAATTATAGGTCGGCAACTGCAAACAAAGAATTTTTTAAGCTTGGCCCCAGCTTGCCTTTACTTGTGAAAATCAGAATGTTACATATACACTGTATCTTCAAAGAGATAAATTGATGGAGAGTATGTTGGAAGCCATAGATATTGGACAACTCATATGGCAACCCGGCTAGCCTTTTGCACTTTCTACCCATACATTATTACATGTGCTAACCATGATGACTTGCGTTTAATCCGCGGGAGAAAGATCTGATGAGGTCGGAGACACGTCCCATAATCCTCTGTCTGTCACCTCTGGGTAATTAGTCTTTCGACAGACTTAAGGACAGTCTTACGTAACAGTGGAGCAGTACTGGCATTGCTATCATCCGATTGGCAAGATTCAATTTTTTCTTCTGTGATTCATTTTGTAATAGTTGGCATAATGGGTGTTAAGGGTGGTATATTACTTGGCTGTGTAATTACGGAAAAGCTGAGGCTATTTCTTTACCTCCAGCCTCTCTGGCCGCATTCTTTTCTTGTACGGCTTTGTCTTCTTGCTCAAATAATATCAAGAAATGTCATAAGAATTAGAAATGAAGTCTTAATTGAGCTTGAAGAACAGCTAAAAAAAGAACTTAATCAGTCAACAAAATAAGATATAGAAGTTTTCTTATTTTTTCATATATATTGTAAATATCAAGAAATGTCAAAAGTATTAGTGAGTTAAATACTGTATGAAGCTTGCAAACCATCTAATAAAAGAATTGATTAATTATACCTTGAACATTTTAACCCCCCAGAAAATCAATATCAACCAAGGCAGTCTTAAGGTTGACAATGGTTTTCAAGGGATAAAAAGTTCTTGATTTTGTGGCCATTTAGCAATTCATTTTTTTTTTGGCACTTAGGGCCATTAAGCCATCAGGGTTTTCAAGCAACTCAGGGCCATTGAGCAGTCATCATATTTTAGGCTTTCAGGGCCATTAAGTGGTCAGGTTTTTAAGACACTTAGGGCCATTGAGCAGTTAGGATTTTTTAGGAATTCAGGGTCATTAAGCCATCAAGGTTTTCAAGGCACTCACATCCATTGAGCAGACAGGGTTTGCAAGGCACTTAGGTCCCCATTGAGGGGTCAGGGTACTTCAAGGCACTCAGGGCCATTGAGCAGACTGAGTTTTTTAGGCACTTAGGGCCATTGAGCAGCTTGTTGAGCAGTTTTCTTGGGTTTTCAACGCACTCGGGGCCATTGAGCAGCCTGGGTTTTTTAGGCACTCGGGGCCATTGAGCAGCCTGGGTATTCTAGGCACTCAGGGCCATTGAGCAGACTGAGTTTTCTAGGCACTCAGGGCCATTGAGCAGCCTGGGTATTCTAGGCACTCAGGGCCATTGAGCAGCCTGGGTTTTCTAGGTACTCTGGGCCATTGAGCAGCCTGAGTTTTCTAGGCACTTAGGGCCATTGAGCAGCCTGGGTTTTCTAGGCACTCAGGGCCATTGAGCAGCCTCAGGTTCTACTTGTAGTGTGCCATGACAAGGCACCTCAGTTAATTCAGACAAAGATTTCCCATTCTGCCAAAAAATTCATTACAGTAAAGTTGATTTGAAGCCATGATCCTGATTTCTTTATTAACTAATTAAGCCTACATATACATACAAATTTCCACCCACTATAAAGATTTACAGATATGATCATGTATTCCATAAGGAAGTGGCCCCCTGTCCCCTGGGGACACCATGTACATCACGGCAGGTAGCGGTGGTTCTACCCAGGTACGTGGGTACAGGAGCCGTGACAGATGTGGTCAGGTTGATTGATGACGCTTCCAGTTATTAATCTCAATTCAGAGGCATCAATGATTTGCCTCCCTTGTTTTAAGGTCATGTAAGGGTTATTATTTACCTTTATGAGCAACTGAACATTACCCTAAATCTGGAAATTTTTACTTCAATTTATTTTTGCAAATCTGGATCAAAAAAGTGTTGTGTTTCAAAATTTTGCAAATTGTCATTGGCGCTAAAATTAAAAAGCGCTTAAAAGGTTTAAAACAGTTTAAATTAAGTTATGCATGTACATACAATGAGTTACGCATGTACACATATTATTTAATGATGCAGCCAAAAGAAAACATGATTCACCAATTGCTTGGCTATTATTACTATCAACAAGTTTTGAGCTCACTCTTTTTATTTGATCACCTGTTTTCATGCATCTGTCTGAGTTATATGTTTATTTGTTTTTTCCCCTGTGAACTTTTCACATTCTTCATTGACCACTGGGACAGTTTTACCAAAAGTTGACGTGATCGAAGCATCCCTGAATTAGTAAAAGGGCTTTTCAAATTGCTTTAGTAAAGGAAGTCTAATTCCATGGGAAGATAGTTAACAAAAGGTAAAAAGGATCATGGGTTTATTAAGAAAAAACTCTTTTTTCTCAATATAACCAATGGGGTAGAAAAAGTGAAACTTGTGACTGAAAGCTTTTTGAGATAGTGTAGATTCAAATTACAAAATTGAGATCCTGTGCTCTAGCTGGGATAGGGTGGGGTAACATAATGGGTTCAAAGTTTTAAATTGAAACACAGGGGGAAAAAATTGAAATTTCTCAAGAACCATATGACCTGAGAATAGATGAAAATTTCTCGTGGTATTTTAGAGCATGTTTAATATAGATTGTAAAGTCTCCTAAGTGTAGGATTGGGCTATAATAGGTTTTGAAATTTTACTTGCAGAATAAATTTAATAGCAACCACTCTTTGTTTACATGGTAAAAACTGGGTTGGGGCAATAATTATAAGGCTTTATAAACCATGAAGATATATAAATCTGAAATATTTACTGTTCCAATCCAGTTTATACCATATATTTTGGGTTGCTTTTAAATTCATTCCTTATATTATAATTTCCATTCATTAAGCATAAGAAAATAAGATGATTGCCCTTTATAGAATGACTTCAAAGTGTGCACAATTTAAATGTTAAGTTGGGCAGATTAATACATTCTGATGCAAGTCATTATGACATAAGCAGCACAGTTTATACAACATAAAGTGATTTTTTTTAATCCAATGAAATGGCATGTTACAATCAAAATTTAATTATATTGAATAATAAACAAATACATTTATCTTAATCTTGTACCACTGGTCCAGAAAAATTGATGAATCCGCCAGACACAGTCTGAATTTTAAATTGTTCAATTTAGGCCCCTAGATTATAATACATGTACTATAAAGCTAAATTTTCATATCTATTATTTTTTCTTTTCCAGACTTTCCGGCTCCCCCTGAGTTATAAATATGCCTGCCCCTCCCCCTCGACCTGGATGCTGGTCATCAACTCCCTCATTACCGTCCTGGGGGTGGGGCTCCCAGTGGCCAGAAAACAAGGTACGTCTATATTTAATTCAGCTTGACTGTTTTATGTACATTTCTAAATAAGCTAGTCTATCACTCTCAAATTGGTCCCTGAATGAGAGAAGGTGTAATTCCTGTATATAGACATTATTGCAGCAGGAATAGTGTTCCTACATTAGGCTACATATCATAGAAGGCTGAGCCCGGACCACTGGTTACAGGGTCCAGGGCTTGGTACTAATAATACCTGTTAGTGAGGAATTTCTTTAGCTTACATATGTAGCCCTTTGATGAGGTTGATCCATAGATATATCGACTTCACAGAAAAGCATATCTAAGGGTTCTTTATTTATATTGTATAATCACAGAAAATTTTCAAGAAAAAATGCCTCTTAATCGAGGTCTTATTTCATTGTTTTTGTACAAGTGAAGAGGGTGCAATAAGATATTTATTATTATTTGTTATTAAATAATAAATTTTAAAAAAAAACCTCTTTTTTCATATTTCAGGGTCAGCTTTTCAAGGAATGTGGGGTGAATTAGCCAAAACTTTGGAAGAGTTCCTGTTTCCCAAGCAGTAAGTCAGATCAAAGAAAGATAACTCTAGTATGTTTACAATAACTTTTAAAAATGTGTAAGAGCTACGGCAGTTAGAACCATTTACAATGTCAGGTGTGTCAATTTTTAGTAGCCCCATAATCCCAAGTAAAGATAATGTTCAACAAGGATTGGAAGATATTTGAAAACATTGAGAAAATTAATAATTAAACGAGTAAATGCACTTAAAGATAAATTTGTGGACAAGTTGCTATAACATTTTGTATGCTGACCTGTACCATTTGACACTGACTTTGTATGTTTATAAAGTACTGATGGTCTGTTTGATTACAGATCTTCCCCTGCTACATTATCCATGGAAGATTTCCAGAGAGACGAGGCCATAGACTGTAAGGTAACAGATAACCGCCTATTACCAGACACTGGTTAGATGGTGGAACATTACACTTCAAAATTGTTTAAAACTTCTAGTTTAAAAAAAATCAAAATCCTTTATTAATTGGAAGGTAGAAGAGTTCCTGCACTTTGTAAGGTGGTTTGTCATGGGTGTTTTTTTCTCCATAATTGCAAAGAAGAAAATGGTTTAAATTATACACTTATCATGTTACCTTTGTCATATAGAAATACATGTACTGTAAACGTGGAAATTTTTTTACGGTGTGCTAATTTTGACTATATTGACGATTTTTCTTTTCTCGTCAAAATTTACACTCGTCAAACTTCGCATCAAATATATAGCGTCACGACAGACATTGACCATTGTACAACTTAACCGCTTAATTTTCTCGGCGTTCCCCTATTAAAACTAGATCAAAGTTATTGTTAATTTCCTTTGTAATTAGTTATGAAAACATAGTGATATATAATCACATTTTTTAAAAAACCATTGAATCTAAACTAGTGTATCAAATACTGCATGCGTTACTTTGTGTAATTATCACCTCAGTTAATTGATCGCCTATAATAATGAAAACAAAATACAAAAAGGCAATTTATTTAATCAAATCTTACACACTTGTAGGGTTTGTGCCATCTTACACACTGTAGATGGTCTAACTCTGGAATTCATTGTTTTTTACTTTGTGAATTCAAAGATACATAACTCTTGATTAAATATTTCGTCAAAATTAACACTCGTCAATTTTCGGAAACAAAAAATCATCAATTTTTTAACTTGTCAATATAACCACGTTTACAGTATGTCCTCTGTTTATAATTACAGGTAGTACAATTAATCCGAGATGACATCTTGCCATTTGCCTCAGCAATTCCACCAGACTTTGTCAAACAAATCATGAAGCTGCTCAACAGGGGCTCCATACATTCCACCTCATCAGATTCCTTCATAGGTCAGGACTCAAATATCACAAAATATGTCTGTCTGTCTATCTGACTATATAAATATGGGCTCTTGTCTTGTGTTTTGGAACTGAAAGAATTTTTTGATGTTGGATAAAACAGCTATATAGCACTCGTATTACTCATATGATCTCTTTTCTACCTTTATGCTTCTAAATAAAACATGAAATTTACTATTTTAGTTTTATAGATTTAAATTTGTTCAATTCGTAACCCCTCGTTTGCCTCTTGGGAAGGGGGGAGGGGGGACCACTTATAATATTTAACTTTTCAAATACTGTAAATGTATTATATTTAGCGTGTACGATATTTGGCGGAAATTGACTTTTGAATAAGTTAGCGTAGATTTGATTTTGCGCATTTCTTCATATTCTTATTTATGTGCATATGTGCAAGACATTTAGCTATGTATTTGATTTAGCGGTTGCTGCGATCCGCCAAAGCCGCTAAAAAGAATACACAGCCAAATGTCATACGTTTACAGTACTAAACTGATTTCTGCTTTACTCGAGCCAGAGTGCCCTGGTGAGTGAAGTGTCCCATGGGTCTTTCGTTGGGATTATTGGTATAGGGTACGTCATGGGATGCCTTTTTAGCTCACCTCGATGAAGTCGAGATGAGCTTATGCTATACCCCGGGCGTTGGCGTCGGTGTCAACGTCCCAGGTTAAAGTTTTAGGTGCAAGTCCATTCCCAAGTAACTATAAGCCCTACCTGACCAAACTTGCATGCATGATGCATCTAGGGATGGACACTACCAGACTTGCTTCGGATGCTGGGTTTGATCTACATTTTCCAGATGAGTGACCAGGTTAAAGTTTTTGGAGCAGGTCCATTTCCAAGGAACTATAAGCCCTACCTGGAGCAAACTTGCATGGATGATACATCTAGGGATGGACACTACCAGACTTGTTTAGGATGCTGGGTTTGATCTACATTTCCCAGATGAGTGACAAGGTTAAAGTTTTTGGAGCAGATCCATTCCCAAGGAACTATTAGCCTTACCCGGTCTAAACTTGCATGGATGATGCATCTAGGTATGGACACTACCAGACTTGCTTCGGATCTGGATCTGACCTACATTTTCCATATGAGGAACCAGGTTAAAGTTTTTGGAGCAGATCCATTCCCAAGGAACTATAAGCCCTACCTGGACCAAACTTGCATGCATGATGCATCTACGGATGGACACTACCAGACTTGTTTCGGATGCTGGATCTGACCTACATTTCCATTCCCAAGTAACTATAAGCCCTACCTGAACCAAACTTGCATGGATGATGCATCTAGGGATGGACACTATCAGACTTGCTTCGGATGCTGGATCTTACCTACATTTTCATTCCCAAGTAACTATAAGCCCTACCCAGACCAAACTTTCATGGATGATGCATCTAGGGATGGACACTACCAGGCTTGCTTCGGATGCTAGATCTGACCTATATTTTCCCAAACAAGAGACCAGGTTCAAGTTTTTGGAACAGATCAATCCCAATGAACTTGAAGTCCTAGATATCTGCAGTATTAACAAAGTTATGAATATTTGTTTACACTATACATGTTTTTCACACTAGAGGCTTAGAAATGTGTATATGCCATGTAAGGTGTTAAAAAGAACTTGCAAGAATATTGTTGTTGGGATAAATATCAACTATTAAGAAAATTTGATGTATATGATTTGCATTACTTACACTGATAACATTCGTCGAGGTGAGCTTCGTAATCTTTGATTACCTATGTTTACTAGATGAAATACACAAATCCCATTTATTTTTTAAATAACATTACCTGACAATTTTTTTAGACACAGACTCGAGTAAGAAGCTGAGAGAGGAGTTCGCCAAGATCTGCTTTGAGACATTACTACAATTCTCATTCATTAATAAATCAAAAAGTGAGGAAGGTGCAATAACCAAAATGGCGGTGATGTCACTGCTTCAGCGATGTCAGGAAGTGGTCCGTAAGCATGTGGAGGATGAAAGACTCAGCGGGAAATGTCCACTTCCCAGGTAATTCTTTATTGGTATAGGTAAGGGATTTCTGTACAATGGAGAATGACAATTCAGAGGGAAGTTTCCTCAGCCTTGTTACGTTTACTGTAGAGGTATTGGTACGTATACCGTAAGTGGTCCTAAAACTTGTTAAGGGTGAGGGGAAAGGGTATTGTACACAAGTTTGTGTAACAGCATACATCCTTTATGCTCTATATCAAAGAAAGGTTTCTCCTATAAATTTTATTGTTTTTGATTATTTTGTATTAAAATTGAAACTTTTATCATCAATGCACACAGCTAGTATCCCAATTATAGAAGCAATTGTTGATTGATCTATTTATTTTTTGTAGACCAAGGCTAGCAGAGATGGCCTCTGTCCTTAAGGCAATTACAACACTGCTGAAATCCCTGAAACAAGCTCCACCAGGCAATGGTAACACACTATTTCAAAGCTTTCAATGAAATAAAATTGAAGTACTGGCATATAACCTATTTGTGAAGGCTAAATGAGTACTATATTTTCTTTCCCTAAGGCCCAGTTGGGGCTCTTCTCACCAATAGAATGCATTGCACCAAAGTGTTTTTTTCCAATCTTTATTTGAGTCAAACATTCCCATCAGCGTAAAGCAACACCTCATTCCATTGGCTGACCTTTTTAAAGCTGATTGTCTGGGTGGGAGTCAAATTAAAGACACAAAGCACGTGCAAGTTTTCTGTAAACTTTAGTTTGTACTACATCACAAAAAGCTAAACCGATTCAAATCATGTTGGCTCCGCCTACTACGATTTAATTGGACGACAATTGTATTTTTCTTTGCGTAATACTTAGTAACCGTCATCAAGTATATGTTATTTGGGTTTTAACTACCGGTAATCAGCAATCAGAAAGATAACCAATGAACAATTTTTTAAGAATTTAGCAAAGAAGAGCTCAGACTCTTACGCAATGTGAAAAGAAACTCGTTGGTGCAATGCATGATATATTATCATAGGGAGAGATTGTAAAGACCTTGATCCAATATGTATCTACATGGTACAGGCTAAAATATAATCTGTCAAAATAATTATTGGTGGCAGTATTTTTGCTCTCCCCTTGGCTAAGTCAGGTTCATACTTCACCCATAGAGTGCATGTACATATATGTACTGTGACCTTGTGACTTTGGTCCAGTCAGGCTGAATTTTCACATCTAGAGTATCCATTCAAGTTTATCTAGGCCTATATAAATCTTTTTCATTTAAGAGGTCACTTAATTTTTTGAATACCTTATTTTGCTTGAGATAGTCATTCAATTCGACTCTTTATTAGCAAGACAAATTTTCACGAATTGTGGTTATTGTTCCTTATAATCTTTTGGAATGCTAATATACCCAAGAATGAAATTTTCGTGAGCACACAGTCTCGTGTAATTATGCACAAATAAAATTATCGCTAATGAATAGTGATTTACAGAATTCAGTTCTTCATGTGAGGCTAATAAGGATGAACTGATAATTATGTTTCCTGTTATAAACTGTGGATGTTTTTTCTATTTTTAGTGGAGAAGCAGGTTTGGAGGATGGTGCTCCACTTGTACCCCTGTCTGGTGGACTGTACCACCTCTCCCTCCCCGAGCGTGTGTAAGGCGCTCCGAGACGCCCTCCACGAGTACGCTGACCTCCTGTCTCCCCCGACAACCGCCGTCACCAACGGAACCACCTGATCAAAGAACAGATCAAAACTGGAACAAAGTAAAGCTCAGAACCCGACCTGGTGTTTGGTTCTGGTGCATTAGTGCAATCAACAATGTTATTTATGGTGGAAGGGATTTATCTTGTGATATTCTACAGATCTGCAAAGGCAAACTATACTTAGAGGAACATTAGTGGAGTTCTAATGCTTAGGTTTAACTTTGTATAGAAATAAAAAAGGAAAAAGTAATGGTTGGTCATAAAATAGAGATGTTAATGTATTGCTCATGAAAGAAAAGATATGTCACATACTGTATGGGTACTTATTATGCAGAAATCAAACAAGGGCCGTTTTTTATGGTTATTGGACCTTGTTCTTTACCACAGCACAACTTTAAATAATGGACCATATGGTGCAATCTTATATAAGTGGTATCAGTATTTCTGTGTACATGTATTATCTATTATTAAGAAAAAATGTTTAGGCAGTATTCATAAATTAGTGCACTAAAGATTGAGCTACCCTCCTTCCCCAGTAAAAGAAAATCTAGGCAAATATGTACACATTTGGTATATATAATATACTTATATATTTTGAAAAGTGTTAGTGGTTTTTCATTATTTATCACATTACTCATATTAATATGTAAACAATATTATTCATTTCTGAGAAAATGCTAGTCTTGCTTTAATAAAGCTTATCTCCATTGAAATCTTACATATTTAAGATTTGATACTGGTATAACATGGTGCTTTACAGTGTGAAAGTTTTTCATGGAAATGTTGACATCATGTTAGATACTTGATATCTTATTCCTTCATTATACAGAAATGGAATTGTGTGTGTTGCCATAATTGATGTTTTTTACAGTAAATTCAAGATTAAATATATATATATTTATTTGAAAAAAATAATGAAGAAACACTGCAAGATGGTGAATTTGCTATATGAAGATTTTTGAATGCTATGTACACCAAACGTTCATTTATTTGTTGACTATCATATTTGTTTTTGTCTAGATTAAATACCATTCCCATACTTGTCATAGCATTTCATTTTCCTCCATGTATTACAACTCCATCCAGTAAGGGGGATTGAATGGCAAGCTACAAAAATACAGTAAAACTGTGTTATCCCAAACAGTGATATCTTGATTACCATGGATAAATCAAAGTGATTTAAAGTCCCAGTGTCTTATTCTTTTACGATTACCATCAATAACATGAGTTCTTGGATATTTAAAATCTTTCTCTCTGTCTCGTGGAGCTCCAGATATAAATAGGGCTTTATATTACCGTGTGTAATCAAATACTTCTAAGTAAAAAAAAAAAGATGTATAATTAAATTTTCTGATTGATTGCAGATTTTTTTGTGGGGGGGGGGGATAAGTTTATTAGGTGGTCTGTAGTTCATTGAAGGGATAATTGTGAATAATAATTATATATACTGACTACTGTCCATGTGGTATGAGAAAGAGGGTGTTGCAGAAACTCGCGATTATTCCCTATATATGGAGAAGGACATTTAAATATCCTCGTTATGTCTAAATATAGATAGAGCTAGGACTATGTTTACGGCGGGTATTTCCTGCTTGATACAGCAAAACGCACACATTCGTCATTTTGCACGAAAGAGACTGCATGGAACAATAAAAAGCATAATGGCTGAAGCAGCATTTTGAAAGATATACTGTATATATCGTGCTAAAATATTTTTATGAAATAAAACTGCACCCCATAATCACACTGTTAGTGCTACATCCAAGACATTTTATTTGTTTCAAATCAAATCTTGGCTACTAACTAAGAGACCAAAATTGCAATAGTTACAGTACGTAAAGAAAGAAATTATTTAAACAATACCGTAATTTTATTTTTCAAGACAAAACTAACCAAAGCATTAGTTTTAAGTCACAGCATATCAAGAAAAACAATTTAATCCTGCATTCCTAATATATAGTTATTACTAATTAATTTCTTGACAGGATTCGAACCCATTCTCTGGTAAAAGTACTGTTTGGAATTCCACCAGCATAACCACTGGACCATTTCGGACACAATGATTTTGTAGTGTTATTTAAAATACACATTTTGCATTTCCTTTGGAGAATAATTTTTATTCAATTTTTGCGTTTTTCAAAAATGTGCCTCTTTGAAACAAAAATCGGAAATGGCAGTTTTGAAGAAAATTCCTGCCTCTTTGAGTATACATCAAAATTATTTTGTTTCAAGGAGGCACTTTTTCAGAACAATGGAAATTCCCTATTTAAAAAGCGGAAAATCTGATATATTTTGCCATAAGACTAATTTTCACATCATTTAATGGCAAATTGAAAGTCAATACAAACCTTCCAAATATTGTTTCTCGTTGTGCTTTATATATTGTTGCATTTGAAAAAAATTAATATGAGTTTCTAGAACATAAAAATTCTTCCCTTAATCTGCTACAGATTTAGGGAAAATAACAAAAGAACTGCAACACCCACTTTGTGGACCCGGTCATCTGATGAAAAGGTTTCTCGTTGTGTTGTACCTTAGTATAATCATATGGTAAACCCACTGGTGTACATTTGAAGTGGCCTAGCTGCAAGGAATAAGGTCCACAAGAATTTAATGTGCCTAATGCCTAAGTCACATATAAGCCGATGGTCGGGCGACCAAATTTTTCTCGGATCGTTGGCAAAAAACATCATCGCCTGAGAGTGGTAACTTGGGGGGGGGGGGGGGGGGGGTCGTTGACTTCTAATGCTTCAAACCTTCCTCTTTTTATACCAATTTAACACAAATCCGCGTTTTCCAGGGGGGGGGTCCAAGGTAACTGTTTACTTGCTTTAGTATATATATAGATTTAATAACCTTGCAAATTCCAGGGGGGGGGGGGGGCGGGCGGACCCCCCTATAGATCCGCGCATGTTTTTTGTGCCAGCGCCTACAGCGAAGCGGGACCTCGGTTTATACGGTGTCATCTGAAGGACTGGTCTCCAAGTCCCACAGTGGGATTCGAACTCGCGACGTAAGTATTAACTCCTTACTTCACGACTCTAGAGCAAACGATATTGATATTCTGCAGAGAATTCAATAAATATGCACGTATACATATAGAGACCCTTGCCAACTACCATTTGAACTTTTTTAACATAAATAAAATGTAGGCAGCAGCTAGGTTAAAAGAAAGAGGGCGTATAAGGCGTGGACAATCCCCCGCTCTGAGACAAAATATTTCTCAATTTTCAAAATTCACCGAAAAGTTTTATTTTTCTAAAATCATGTTATCAGTAATGTCATCTTCAAAATATTTTATTATTTATTTTACTGAACGATTTATTATTTGATAATCTTTATTTGGGTTTAATAGAGCTACGAAAAATGAATTTTGAACATGAATGGGTCAAGTCTCCATTCTTCGTTAACGCTTAAATGATGGAAACGTAAATGTAAAATCTATTTCATTTGTCCAAAAAATGGAATCTGAACCCACTCTATATGAAAATCGAAATTTTCTGAAAAAATGTACGCTTCAACAAGTCCGTTCATTTAAATCACACTGACAAACGTCGATAATCCATGTACTTCGTAGACGCAGTGTTTAAGCGCTCGGTCTTGAAGCAAATCCTGCGAGAGAGAGAGTTCGAATCATTCGTAAAGCTTTTTCTTTTTCGTTTTTACGTATTTTATAAACATGAGGGAAAAATAAATTATTCATAAAATATTAAAACAATGAAATAAAGAATTAAATGTGTAAAAGATGATATAAACCATATAATTTTGAAAAATATAACTTTCAGAATTGGTAAAAAAGAAAAATTTCAGGCCGGGAGATTGGCCTCGCTTTGTACGCCCCCATTCTTTATACTTTTCGTTTGTACGATATGTAATCACAGGCAGATTTAAGGGTATTCAAAGTATGACTTACTAATATTGATAATGCCATACTTTGGTTTTAATGGTCAATTGACAAATGGTAATCGAGTTCGTTTTGTCGGACCCAAGAACCAAACTGAAAACTGGCCTGAGGCCGTTAGGCTGTTAATTTAAGGAGAGTGTTAAAGAAAATTCACAGAAATTTCTAATTTAAGTAACCATGACAACACTGTTTATCAAAATAATACAAATGCTGGTTAAGCATCTAAGAGCAGTCTTTCTGTGTGCCAGGTTATATTGAAATTCGACTAAAACGGAAGGAGGAGTAGCATTTTGAAAAATTGTTTGCAAACAGCTAAACGGACGGACAAACGGACGCACGGGTGACGGACACCTTACCATCACATAAGCTCTTCTAGTCTCTGGCCAGTAGAGCTAAAAATGCTGCATGGATATGATAGGTAAATTAATTTTTCAAGTTCGTCTCCATTTCTGCATGGCGAATGCCCAACGATTTTTTAAAATTCTCTCTCTCTCTCTCTCTCTCTCTCTCTCTCTCTCTCTCTCTCTCTCTCTCTCTCTCTCTCTCTCTCTCTCCTAAAAACACTTTATTGATTTACATTATGCTTTCTGCAGTTTCTGGACTCAGAGCTTTTTTATTGTACACGTCACCCACTTTACTGGGTAACGGGGATTACAAAATCACAGCAGCAAAGACACGCGGAAAGTAATTTGAAGTTTGGCGGGAAATTACCTGTCTAACCAACCAAGACTTTCGCGTGCTGCACGGGGATGCTCTAACACATTTGGTAGACCGCCGTGTTCCAGTGACGAGGAAGGAAGGGTTGTGCCGGTACACAGAGCTTATCGGTAAGTGGATATTTTTGTAAAATATCAGCCCAAATTAATTAAGTTGACAAGCTACATTTATATGTAATATGGAGAGTGCATGGGGTCTACATGTAACGTGCAAATCGAGTCATTCGCTGCTTTTGATCAACACAGGTCACGCCCTTTTCACAGCATTCCATGTTTTGTGTAATTTATAAGTGGAAAAACGTGTGGTCACTGCAATGAAAAATTCCATGCTAGATACTTTTATTTAGTTTGTAGATGAGTGTAGCAAGATATACTCGGTGTAATATTTAATTTACATCAACAGGTAAAATATATAGATAACATTGTATGCACCTGTAGCATGTCAAATCTGGGGGTGTGGCAGAGAAATTAATGTAGGGTATTTTAAAAAAAAAACAACTGATTAAGCAGCTGAATGTTGTGCATGAGTTGCATGCTGTTGTGGATAAGTATAAAATGTTTCTTATACATGTGGAAACTTCTTATTAAGCTGCTTAATGAAAGAGTAGCATATTATCAGTATATCATAAGCTTAATGTTGGTAAGTTCAGGTAACACAGACCTGTATAAATTGATTGTATGCCCCTCCCCGTGACTCAGATTTTAGTGCCGGTATGACCAATGTCAATTTCACTGGGACAGGTATTACCGGTATGTATTTATGAATTACCTGTGTTTTTTCTGACATAAACATCGGTAACTGATCTAATGGGGAATTAAGATCCACACATATGAATGAATTTCTGTACGTTTATACGTTAAAGATTAAGGTGCCACCTTGGCATGAATATTTTTTTCAGAATAAAAATTATTGTAAATTTCCTAGATTATTTAAAATTATTTAGCATGCATGCAAATGAGTGTTGAATTAGTGATGAAATACGGGTTAATTGTTGATCAAATTAAAAGCTCTGAATCATAAAAGGTGCATGCAAAAATTTCTGCATTCAATGAAACAATTAATTGTAATTTTGTTACTAGAGCAGGTCCAGTCCAAAGACTATTTCTACCTACGTAGGTATTAATAGCTATGTAGGTATTTAAAGCTACCCAAAGTAGCTATTTTTACCTACTTTCTGCTTTACTTGCATTTTGTAGCCAAATGCAGGAACGGCGCAACATGGTGAGCACACAATTTCTTGATACAGTCACACTGATGATGAATATGACAAAAAATTGGCCAAAAAATGAAAACTTCGTATATTATCAATTTTGTATAGAAACTAATGTAAAATTGCCGATTTTGTAATCATTTTTTTGGCAAAATTTTTCTCGTATTCATCATTAGTGTGACCATATAAAAACTAAAATTTACCATGTTGCGCCGTTTGGTCTTTTGGTCGCAAAATGCAGAAATTATATAAAGTAGGTAAAAATAGCTACTTTTGGTAGCTTTAAATACCTAGGTAGCTATTAATAGCTACGTAGGTAGAAATAGTCTTTGGACTGGACCTGTAGAGTACAAAATTACAAACATTCCTTTCAACATTTGTTCTGTTAAGATTTAACACCCCTGAAATAATTGGATCCACATTTCAATCGGTGAAATAAACATGTTTCATCTCTCTGAGTAAACACATCCCCTATGTATACATTCCTCCATATTGCTCATAAAAAATTTCTGACTCATATGAAGTAAACCCTTGTCAAAATTCACTACACCTACACAATTTCCTTGTTGGCTAGCACTCAGGCAGGTAAGATTACCAAAGATCTCCCTTCATTGATAAATTTAATACCATTCATGAAAACTTTTAATTTTAACCTGACTGAATATTAAGTATGTCAGGGGTCTCAAGAATTCCAGAGAGGTACATTTATTTCTGAGTGTGTAGAATGTGTTGTAGAAGTCAGGCATCGTTGTGTTGGAATGTCAGTGAATTATCGATGCAGTAATTTGTTTATTGAGTTATAAGTAATTCATGCTTTGTGATTAATTCACTGTCCCAGGCTTAATAGCTAGATTTTGGGATTGTAGAAGTTGTGAGGTCTTAGTGGCCAGATGTCTGGTCGGTTCTGAGTAACGCGCACAGACAGCACACAGACGATTACACAGCTATAATTGTCAGTCAGAGTTTGTCTGGAGTGGCTCTTTCACATCTATATCGCTAATTATAGGTAGATAATCTATCATTGATGTGTACTGATACTGTAAACCAATTATTATACGACTAACCGCTAGAGAACTTATCTGCGACGATTTATTTCCGCGAAAGAGTAGTCACATTTTTTTTTATTTTCACGAGTATTTTTGAATCAAATTAAAATTCTATATCCGCTCATAAACTAGGTAAAATGGTAGCGTGAGGTCTGCTTACACATTATTCAAGACATTCTGTGCATTGCGTCCATTTAAAATCTTAATTTAAAATCCGCCCCTGAAGTGGGTAAAATGTTTACCATGAGTAGGGGCCTATACTTCATACGCATTCTCACAACGCTCAAACAAAAATCAGGAAAAAATCTAGGAGATTAAAATTGATTTAAAACTCTCAATTGAAAAGTGCCTCATACTTATTGGGTAATCGACGCTTTCTAAGATCTACATAGCCAAGGAGCAATTATTATAAATGGTTGGGACAGAGCAGGACTGGGCCATAATTAGCCGTAATTAACCAGGCTATCTCTGACTCGTTTGTAACAATAAATGAACAATAATAACACAAGCTGAAATGACTATTGACATTTTAATCATTTTTAGACAAATAGTTTTAGATTTGCCATTCGTTTTTATTTTTTCTGAATGTTTGTAATTAAATTTCAACTGCTTCTTGTACACTAACAGTAAAGTTCTTCCGTGATTACTTGAACCGTCGGGATCGGTATTGAAAAAAGGGCAAATAACTCTAAATAAATCATGATATGGGAATATAATGAACAACTGGTTCGCGACGATAAATATCCGCGAGCAGAGGTTACTCGCGCAACTCGCGGATATTTATCGCACGCGTATAATACTTGGTTTACAGTAACTAATTACTCGATAATCAGATTGTTTTTTAAAAGATAAATATACATGTGGCAATTATTTCTGTAAATGGATTACAAAGATTAATTTTATTCCCTTTTAACCTTATAGTTCGTTTTCAAACTCCTATGTTTATTTTTCCCTTACCAAATGCAGTATATTTGATAGTATGTATACAAACTGAAAGAATGCCAGGAATGCAGATGGTTTCCTCATCCTCTGTGTGTAGATAGAGCTATTAAAGAAAAGGATATAACACTCTAGTAAATTTGTGTTCATTTAAGTTTTCTTTGCTGTAAACATAATGAGTAAGATTTTAACAGATACAGCCGTGTCAGTGTAGAGAACATCTGACATATTGTGTCTTTTGTGCGAGCATGTTTTCTTTATCTTTTTTTTTTCATAAGAAAAGTTTCCACATGTTAATTTTTACTGCCTATAAATAGAAAGAATGCATGGAATGTTTTGTGAGAACATCTGAGGTTTTTAGTAACCTTGATAGATTTATAAAGTCTGAAGCAATATACCTCAGTATTCATTAAAACAATGCAGCAAACACAATCATTTAAACATCCATAATAATTTTCTTGCATTAACTTCATTATTTTTAATAACTTCAGCTGAAGTTAAAACTAAAGTTGTGTTAATCATGTCATATATTATTCAACATTTGCTGTCATGTACATATACATGAATTTTAATGCCAAATAAGTATACCCAACTGTTCAAAAGATGTAACGGAAAAATGAATACACTGTATGAATTATAATTAAACTCTCCACCCCCGACCCCACCCCAGCCCTTCGCACATCCCAGCAGCTCTTCTTAAAAATGTCAAATTCAAGATAATTGTTTCATTGTTTCTTCTCGGGAAAAAAATGAATTTTTTTATTTCCTGTGATCTTTTATGATAGAAATTAACTTCCTGGATGTAGATCGACTTCATTTCCTGGCTTTATTCCGTAGCAAGACCATTTAAATATTTTTATCTTTCTTATCATTATACATGTATAATTATGACAAATAAGAAATAAACAAACTGTCTTCTTGTGAGACCTTAATTAAAATCTCCTGCCCCCCCCCCTCCACCCTGGGTTCACCCTGGATCCACTAATAGTAGGTCCATCGTCTAGTTCAAAATAATCGAAATAAATGAATTGTCTGTGTGTTTCTGAATCCTTTACGTATATACGAGGGGCATTTCAAAAGTTCTGGCAACTGTTTAAAAAAAATTTAACCGTTTTACGGAAATTATTGAGTTTGATATCATTGGAAAGATCAGAAAAATATACACATATTGTGACGTCATCTTATAATTTTTATGACGTAATAACTCCGAAAATGACGTCAGAATATAGAATGTTTAGCGTACTGAAAAGTTGCGTTTTTATCCACATGAGACGATCGTAAAAGTGCTGCCAAAAGCTTATTTGAAAAAATATTTCAAAGAAAATTTTAATTTGCAAAGAGGTAGCGTAGGACTATGATACTGTTTATCAACAATTCCATTATTCATTGTATGGTTTGTTTACGAGCACGGTTTATGTCCAGTTATGCTATCATAAACATTCATTTGAGATTTTTATTTACATGATACGGTTGGATTTTCCGTCTCTTTTATAGCTCTCCATTGCTTGAAATAAAACATGTCCTGTATTAAACTGAAGTATATCAATGTAGTTTTCATTAAATATATTTTGAGTAAAAGGACTCTTCCCGTTTACGAATAAAATGTACAGTGTACTAAATCTTGCTCCTGACTTGTTTCCGTGCGTATTTATTCATATTAATTCAACTTCGGCGCCCCTGAACTCACTATTGCTTTTGACTTTTGAATCCAAAAAATGAATATAAGTTACACAGACATGCAAAATCTAATTTATTTTCCATGCATAAAAATTTGCGAATATGTGGAGGTATGGTGGGGTTATTACTGCGCCGCCGCCATTTTGGATTTTACGAGAAAATATGGGGCACACTAAACTTAACTTCTCTAGAGCCTTCATTGATCCCACAAATCTGGTTAAAACACCTGACGAATTTA